CTGTTTACCAAGGGGGAGATGCGATTTATTTACACCAGCAGCCATGGGGGCAAGGGGAATACACAGCAATCTGTATAGGATAGACTACGTATGCAAAAATAAGAATCTCCAAAACAAAGGACAGGGGTGAGTTTCACTACACCTCCCCAGGGATCCCAGCATGCTATAACGCCAGGCGATGGCCCCTGGGCATGCGGTGATAGGAACTAATGTATGGAAGAATAAGCCACAAACCACAGAAAATTTGTAAAGAACCCCTTTCCCCCCATACACACACACACACACACACACACACACACACACACAGAGTCAGATTGCGTCTTTGGCAAATATTTCCTCCGGTCTGTGGTTTGTCTCCTCATTCTTGTCACATTTTCTTTTTTTTTAATTGATTTATTTTTTTATCCTCACCCGAGGACATTTTTCCATTTCTTATTCAGATAGAGCGGGAAGGAGAGAGAGGAAGAGAGAGAGAGAGAAACATCAATGTGAAAGGACACATCGAGTGGCTGCCACCCACACAACCCAACCAGGGCCGGGGACAAACTGCAGCCAAGGTACATGCCCTTAGCAGGAACCGAACCCGGGTCTCTGTGGACCGCAGGCTGATGCTCTAACCGCTGAGCCAAACTGGCCAGGGCTCTTGCTACATTTTCTATTGCAGATCAGAAGGTTTTAATTGTATTGTCATGTGGTTGGTGTTGTATCTAAAAAGGCATCATTTGCCCTGGCCGGTTTGGCTCAGCGGTTAGAGCGTCGGCCTGCGGTCCGGAGAGACCCGGGTTCGGTTCCCGCTAAGGGCATGTACCTCGGTTGCGGTTTGTCCCCGGCCCTGGTTGGTCGTGCGGGTGGCAGCCACTCAATGTGTCCCTTCACGTCGATGTTTCTCTCTCTCTCTCCCTTCCTCTCTCTTCGTCCCACTCTATCTGTACAAAAAATGGAAAAATATCCTCAGGTGAGGATAAAAAAAAATAAAATAAAATAAAAAGGCATCATTGTTCCCAAGGTCGTTGAGGTTTCCTCCTAGGTCATCTGCTAAGATTTTCTAGTTCTGCACTTTACACGACTTCTGTGATCTCCTTGAGTCAACTTCCGTGAAGGGCTGAGTGTAGATTCGTTTTTTTGCGTGTCCAGTTGTTCCAGCACCGTTAGCTAAAAACTATGGCGCTATATTAGATTTGTCTTTACCCTTTGTCCAGGATCAGTTACCAGTGTTTACGGGGGTCTCCTTCTGGGCTCCCCAAACAGTCCCATCACTCTATTTGCCTATTTACTCCTTATACCCCACTGTGTGCTGTCGACTTATATACATTATGACAGCTGCAGCTTCACGGTGGGCCTTGAAGTGGGGCAGCGTCCGTCCCCAGCTCCTCCTTCAGTACAGTGCTGGCTGCTCGGGGCTCTCGCCTCCACACAAACTGCAGAATCCGTTTGTCAACATCTACAGATAACTTGCTGGGATTCCGATGGGGTGACATTGAGTCCACAGATCCCGTGGGGAAGAACCGACGTCCTGGCCCTGTTGAGTCTTGCCATCCATGAACATGGGCTATCTCTCCATTCATTTAGTTTTTCTATGATTTTTTTTTTTTTATCATATGTTTCCTCATATGGATCTTGTACATATTTTGTTATATTTATAACACAAGTATTTTTGTTTTGGGGGTGCTAATGGCAATGGTCTTATGTTTTTTATTTCGAAGTCCACCTGTTCATTGCTGGTGTAGTCAAAAGGAATCGATGTTTGTGTATTAATCGTGTGTTCTGGCAACCTTGCTGTACTAACTTAGTTCCAGGAGGGTTTTTTTGTTTGTTTGTTTTTGTTTTTGGTTGATTCTTCCAGGCTTTTTACATAGACTATCATGTCATCTGCAAAGAAATGCAGTTTTAATTCTCTCTTTACACCTTTAATAAAAGGTATAAATCTGTATACCTTTTATTTCCTTTTCTTGTCTTACGGCATCAACCAGGACTTACAATACAATGTTGCAAAGTAATGTGATGGCCTGGCCAGTGTGGCTCAGTGGTTGAGCGTTGACCTGCACCAAGAGGTCACTGGTTTGATTCCCGGTCAGGGCACAAGCCCAGGTTGTGTGCCCGATCCCCAGTGGGGGGCATGCAGGAGGCTGACAGTCAATTTTCTCTCTCATCGATGTTTCTTTTTTTTTTTTTATCCTCACCCGAGGAAATTTTTCCATTTTTTGTTCAGGTAGAGTGGGAGGGAGAGAGAGGAACAGAGAGAGAGAGAGAGAAACATCGATGTGAAAGGGACACATCGAGTGGCTGTCACCCGCACAACCGACCAGAGCCGGGGAAAAACTGCAACCGAGGTACGTGCCCTTAGCGGGAACCGAACCCGGGTCTCTCAGGACCGCAGGCCGACGCTCTAACCGCTGAGCCAAACCGGCCAGGGCTCATCGATGTTTCTATCTCTCTCTCCCTCTCCCTTCCTCTCTCTCTAAAATCAATAAAGAAAAAAATATTTATTAAAAAAATTGAAAGAAAAGAAAAATACTGTGACGGGTCATCCTTCGCCTTGTTCCTGATCATACAGGAAGCTTCAAGCTTCTCGCCATTAAGGAATATTCTGTAGGTTTCTGGTAGATGTTCTTTATCAAGTTCTTGAGGAACTTCCCCTATATTTCTAGTTTTCTGAGAGTTTTGATCATGAATGGATGTTGGATTTTTTTAAATACTTTTCCGCAGCTGTCAGTATAATCATGCGGTATTTCCTTCGCCTGTTGATATGATGGATCACGTTAATTGGTTTTTAAGTGTTGAACCAGTCTTGGACACCTGGGGTAAATCCCACGTGGTCATGGTATATAATTCTTTTCAGACCTTGTTATATTCTCTTTGCTAATATTTTGTTGAGAGTTTTTGCATCTATGTTTCGAGAGATGTTTGTGATTTTTCATTCTTGTAATGGTTTTGTTTGCTTTTGGTATTACATAATGCAGGCCTCATAAAATGGATTAGGAACTATTCCTTCTGCTTCTAAATTCTGAACGATTAAGAGAATTAGTATAATTTCTTCCTAAATGTTCAGGAGGGTGGGGGCCAGCTCCTGCCACAGGCCAGCCTAGAGCCCCTGCAGGCCCCCACCTTCTCCCTACAGGGCTGCACCGTGCGGTCGGCAGGGCCCTGGTGATAGGTGACTCTGGCTGGACACACACTGTACATTTCACAATGTTTCCATTCACAAACACAAGCAAAAGAGCCTTCGCTGTCCTCAGAATAGGCTGCCTATGTTCCCGGAGGTCAGGGCATCCTGGGGTGGCCTGGGGCAGGAAAACAGGACACCGGACAGTGTCCAGACAGTGACCACCTGATGGGCTCTGGGACTTGGGCAAACTGTCCCTGTGCGGCCCCCTGTTTCCCCATCTGGAAAATGATGGGCTGTACCAGGTGAGTTGTTTTTTAAATTATTCTTTATTGACTACACGTTCTGTTCAGAAACGTGAAGATCTAAGCGATGTTCAAATGTGCCCATCATCCCACCATCTAGATGTCAGCCATGTTACCATTTCCTTTTGGTCTCTCCGGATGTGTGTGGTGTGTGTGGCATGTGTGTGCTCATGTGCGTGTGTGTAATCTCTGAAATGACATCACACTGTCAGCACACAGCCTGTTCTCATTCGACATTTCCCAGACGTCCTGTCTGAAGGCGTGCACCTGTATGCACAGGCACCATGGCACGTACACGCACACATACACACATGTGGCACACACACCGATTACCGACTGCGGAGCATTCCCGCCCTTGGGGGCCCTAATTTATTGAGCCAGCTTTTCTGGCTCTGCACTGCTACTAAAGATGATGCTCGTAAAGATGAGGCTCCCTCCCTGGGCGGCAGGAACAGGAAATGAGTGAGGGCTGGGCTGGTCATCTCCTGGGCTTCCTGTAAGTGGGACCCCTCCTTCAAAGGCCCCTCGTGCCTCAAGTGTTTGGCCCCCAGGGACTTGCAGTCCGGAAGGCAGTGTTCCCCAGGAGCTCCAGCAGGGGGTGAGGAGGCTCCCTGCCCTGGAACTGGGTGCAGTTGGGCTAACTGGACAGGATGACCTGTGGAGGCCCCTGCCTCCAACAACTGCAACACTCCTCCGCGCCTCCGTCGGCACCCGGGGTTCTGGGATCGCACCTCAGGTCTCACCTCAGTTCTCAGAGAAAGGAGAGAGGGGGTGGCAAAATCCCTCTGCCCCGCAGCACACGGTGACTCGGGGACCAGGTGCAAGCATCAGATTGCTGCTTCTGATGCTAGCTCGCAGCCAGGGCAGGGAGCACCGACCTTGGGTCCCACAGCCTCGGCACGCAGCTAAATGGCCTTGAGCAGTCCTCCACCCCCCTAGGGGCTCGGTCCCCTCGCTGAATGGGTATAGCAGCCCGCTACCAGTCAGGGGAGAGAAGCCAGCCCGCTCCCCCAGGTGCTGGGGGCACTCTGGGTGAAGCAGCCATGGATGAATGCAGGCCCCCGGCAGTCCCTTCAATGCCAGTTATGGGTCCCCACGCAGAGACGCGGGGCCTGCTGGGCTCACCGGCCCTGCAGGGGTTCCCATCAGCTTGAGTTTGCGAACCCCTGGAGGTGGGAAGGGCCTCGCAGCAGATCCGGGGGCGCAGTGGTCAGCGGGCTGCCCTTCCCAGGACGCTGCCCTCGGGACAGGACGCGGACCGTCTTGGCCTCGGTTGCCTTGGCGACTGAGTTGGGGCGCCCACCTCCAGTCCTTCGGGCGGTCGGACTGCGCCTGACGAGGGCGCAGCGAGGGTCCGCAGGCCTCCGACGTCCGCAAGTCAGGACCCGCGTGGGTGGCAGGAGCCTGCCAGGTGCAGACCCTCCGGCTCGCGGCCCCGCCCGCGCCTTCTGCGCCTGCGCGGCCACGGGGTCCTCGGGTGAAAATCGTGCACAGGTGCGGCCCGCACACCTGCCCGGGCCTGTGCTGGGGACGCCGCGGGCACCTCGGGGCGCCAGGCTTGCAGGGAGGTGGCCGCCGCCGCGGGGCGCGGGATGGAGTCCGGGGCGCAGGTGGGCCCGGCGGGGGGCAGGTAGGGGGGGGGGCGGCCTGTGGGGAGGCCTTTCCGTCTGCGCTCGGGCTGAGCTGGCACCGGGGCTCTGGGTCCCACCCTGAGTCGCTGCCTGACCGCCCAGTCCGGAGACCCCTGCCCCCCACCCCCCGGGCCGCCCCGCGCCTCCCCCGCAGCCCGGGCCCCAAACCCGAAGGGCCCTCAGCACCCTCAGGGCGGGTGGGCGGGGGCCCAGGTACCCACACCCTGCCCACCCCCCCACCCCACCCCCGTGCGGCTGGTCGCTGTCCTGGGCTTTGCTGGGGACGCCGGGAGGCCGCGGGCGCGGTGCCCGGGGCGCGGTGGCCGCTGCAGGTTCAGTACCGGCAGGTGCAGAACCAGGTAACGGTCCGCAGGTGAAGGCCAGGCCTGACCTCTGACCCTGCGCTGGCCCCGAGGCCCTGCGGGAGGGGCCCCCCTCAGCCACCCACAGCAGGGTCGGGACTTCGGAGCCCCCTCATCAAACCAACAGGGTTCCCCCGCACCCCCATTTGTAAATAGGTGGAAACAGGCCCGCGGTGACCTCTGCCCTCGGCCCAGCCCCCACCCTAAGAAAACGAGGCGGGGGGGGGGGGGGCGTTTTTTAGTTGCTTCTAGAACTTCGGATTCTTACTTTTCCTGTTTTCACAAAAGGCGACCCAAAACGTGGGGCTCTTTTCCTATCAGCATATTTTTAACAAACGTTGGCAGATAAGAAGCTGGAAGGGCCCCTGGACGTTTATCGTCGGTGGCAGGTCCTCCCTCCCGGCACAGGGGCTGTGGTCTGCCTCCCGGGTCAGTGGTACCTTTCATGGTTCCGTTCGCTTTTCCTTTCGCCCTCTGACAAGTTCACAGAGGAATCGCCCATATTTCCGTCCAGACTTTTACGCCTTTGTTTTTTATACTGAAATTTCAGATCCGTTTGGAATTTGCTTGGTACATGATGTAAGATTTTTTGAATTCTTTGTTGCTGAGCCATCTATGAATCTTTAAAGAGTACAGTCTACAGCCCCTTGTCACACGTTGTCGGTAAAGCATGAGGTGGGGACCTGGCTCACCGTCGCTCTGGGTGTTCTCCGAAAAACCACACGAAATGAGAAGAAACACTTGCCTCCGGGGATGAACCCGTCTTTCCTGGAAGGTGTCCCCTGAGTGTGTCTGGATGTTCTGTTCTGAGGCTAAATTTGTAAAAACACTAAATGGTTTTATCTCCGTATCACTCTATCAAAGAACAGATCAAATGACCAACGCAGCATCAGGCTTTGCTTGCGTCACTAATAGGTTCGTTCGAAGCCACGCCTGTTGGTAAGAAAATGACTCATATTCCCGTGCGTGTGGTTCCCGAGGCAGGTCCCCGACCCTGAGGCTCCCATGCTGCTGGGACATCCCCGGAGGACTCAACCCGCCCTTCACTGATGAACCTGCCGTGTGTCTCCCCGATCGTGTTTTTTTATGTTTTTAAATGTTGAGCTGATTTCATTGACAAGGCTTTGCACTTTTCTCCCCCAAAACAATGTTTACCTCAAAGCAGTCTGTTCTCCAGTCGTATCCTGAGGGTCCAGTGGCCGCCGCGTGGCTCGGCCACCGCCACGCTCCAGGGGCCCTTCCTGTGCTCTGTTCCCACAGCTTTCTGGGTGGAGCCCCTCCGAGGACGAGAGCCCACCTTCTGAGCGCAGACGGCCGTCCTCGGGGACAGTCCCAAAGCACAGCACCCCTGAGGAAGGCTTCCTTCGTGGTCACAGGCACCCCCTGGGCCGTGTCCCCTACCGCCGGGGATGGGGCCCAGCTGAGGGGTCCCCGCTGCCTGCCCGCTCTTCCCGGGACCTGCCATCCCCCGTCCAAAAGAGGCGGCTTTCCACCATCTGGGCCTCAGAGGAGTCCAGTGTGCAGCCGGGGTCCGACACAGAGCCCGGGGCTCCTGGGGAAGAGCCACCTGCGCCGGCCAAGGTCACCCAGCGGCGGCGGCGGCAGCGGCGGCAACAGCAAAAGGTGCAGCAGGGAGAGTCCCCAGGCAGCTGGACAGGGAACAAGGGGTTGCCCGGGATCCCAAACACGGCTGGACGTAGGTCCCGGGACCTGAAGAAGCTGGCGGCTGTGGTAAGCCCTGACCCCAGCCCTGACCCCTGGGAGCTCTGGGCCCCCCTCCCCAGGAGGTGGCCTGTGACAGTTGGGAACAAGACCACAGCTCTCCCCTCCCTGAAGGACCTTGGCCAGGCATGGTGAGGTCGCCGGCTAGAGCACCTGGGTGCCCTCACCCCATCAGCTCCGCAGATCAGGCCTGTTCCCCTCTGTCCAGCTGAAGTCCTGGGCCAGGGTGTCGCAGGGTTGTCTGCTTCTGTCCTCCCAGGTGACTGCGGGGGGACGTCACTTTCTAGGAAGGCCTCAGCCCAGCAGCTCTGACCCCTCCCGCTCTGCCTGATCACCCCACATCCCAGCTGGTGTCAGCTTCTCCTGTCCTTATTCTGTGTGCCCCCCCCACCCCACCCCCACCCCGTTTGCTACTGTATTCCCACCTTCTGGGTGTTTGGAGGACGCTGGTCTGCAGGGGGCAGCCTTCTCTCCTTCCTCCTCAAAGCCTCTGCAGCCACCATGGGGTCTGGCTGAGCCCCGACACCCCAGCCTCCACCTTGTTGAACAGCAGGAGTTACCCTGCCCCATCGTCCTGAACTGTCCCGGGGCCTCTCTTGCTGCAGCTCTGGAAGAGGGGCCTCTGGACAGCGTGGGAAACGGGCTGCCCACACGGCTGCGTCTGCAGGTGCCCTGCTGGCCCCCTCTGGCCCTGACCCCTCCCAGAGATCTCTCTCTGCCCTAGTCAGACCAGCTCCTCAGTCCTGACCCTGCCTGTCCCCTCAGCCGCCCTCGGGGCAGTTGCTGGCTCTGTCAAGGGGTGGAGTGCCCGGCTCCTGAGCGGGGACAGTGCAGGCTGGACCAGCCATGCTGGCTCATGGCCCAGATGGTGCCCAAACACTGACCGGTGGGGGGTCTGCAGTGCAGGGTGGGCATTGCTTCTCCTACCAGCTCATGTCCAGCAAAAGCCAGTGTCCTGCAGACCCCCTGAGAGCCTGTCCCGCCCACAGGCGGAGCGCGTGAGGCAGTGGGAGGCCCGCCAGCTCCAGAGCATCGAGGAGGCCACACGGCACAACCTCACCGTGCAGGACGAGTGACCCTGGGGGACCAGGGCTGCCCTGTGCAAACGTCCATCCTTCCGCCCAGCTGCCCCTGTGCAGCCGTCCATCCCTCCGCCCAGCTGCCCTGTGCAGCCGTCCATCCCTCCGCCCAGCTGCCCTGTGCATCTGTCCATCCCTCCGCCCAGCTGCCACGTGCATCTGTCCATCCCTCCGGCCAGCTGCCACGTGCATCTATCCATCCCTCCGCCCAGCTGCCACGTGCATCTGTCCATCCCTCCGCCCAGCTGCCCTGTGCATCTGTCCATCCCTCCGCCCAGCTGCCACGTGCATCTGTCCATCCCTCCGGCCAGCTGCCACGTGCATCTGTCCATCCCTCCGCCCAGCTGCCCTGTGCATCCGTCCATTCGTCCATCCCTCCGCCCAGCTGCCCTGTGCATCTGTCCATTCGTCCATCCCTCCGCCCAGCTGCCCTGTGCATCTGTCCATCCCTCTATCCAGCTGCGTGGAAGCCCCTCCTTCCTCAGGACTTGCTGCGGCTGCCCTTGCTGTCCGCCTCCCTCGTTGTGGGTGGGGTGGGGACTGTTGATAAAGATCTTGTTACTCGGATCCAAGTGTGGTCCTCAGGAGCACATGGGGCGGTGAGGCGGGTGCCCTGACCCTGCTTCCCCAACAGTCCAGGATGACTTGCTGTGGGGACTCAGTGACATCTTGCAGGTAAAAACCAGGGAACAGGGACCCACTGGCCTGGCAAAGGCGAGAACACCCTGCGTCATGGGCTCAGCGTCGAGGCAGAGGAGTTGACTCTCCTGCCTGTTGCTGCCCAGCACTGAGTTCCAGGGGCCAAAGGGACGGAGGGACGTCTGACCCTCACACTGTGAGGAAGAAGAAAGGTTCCTGGAGCCTCGGTTACTGAGCAAATCAGCCCCAGCCCCCGGCCCCCAACCCCCAGCCCCTGGCCCCGCCGCCAGGCCCCCACACCCGCCCACACTCGCGGCCTGTGTTCTCAGCCCCACTTCATCTAAAACTGCCTTTTCCTTCTGGAAGACAAAGCTGACGTTTCCGTCCTCAGCCAGGCCTGTCGGGCAGCCTGGCTCTCGGGGAGTGGACCACGCTGCTGCTGGAGCAGAGTCCCACGGGCACCCGACACGGGGCACCCCAACACGGGTCCTGACACAGGGCACCCCGACATGAGGCACCCCAGACAGGAGCTGCACAGCCGCGCGTGGGCTTTGGCGTCAGGGAGGGCAGAGCCCAGCCGGGGCGAGGGAGGAGGGGGCGGGGAACGTAGGAAGCCGGGGGGCCCTGCGGGTCAGCGACGCGGCAGGACTGTCCGGACAACCACACTCGCTGTCCCACGAAAACGACCACAGGGTTAGTCAAGCCACGTTCCGCTTTACTTCTGTCGTGTGAGATTCCAGAGAGTGCAAACAGTAGAAAAGTTGCGATTAAGAAATGTACATTCACATTTAACATGTCCATTCACTTGTTATTTAAATAAAAATAGGACAAATTATTAAAGGACTTGTCTCAATGTAACAATCTTGGAAAAGACTGGAAGGTCCTACAGTGTCCAGTGGACATAAAAATAGACCCGTGTTGATCATCAAATCTATCAGGAGGAGGTGACGTCGCGTTGTCATTCCGTCATCGGGGTTCACGGCTACCAAAGCGTGCTCACTGTGCCCCGGCCGCCGCTCTGCGCCCGGGGGCGGGACAGCCCTCCGGGCACCACTCCCATGGGGGACAGGAAGCCCACCGTGGACAGGGGCTCTACCTACACGAGAGGGGTCTACGCTAAGAGGTTACATTCCGTGTCTCCACTTGTGCGAGGCGGTGTGCGATCGCGTGGGAGGGGAGGTGGGTGTGTGCAGGAGCCGGCTCGGCTGGGGACGGCCCTGCGGGGCGCCGTCGGGGAGGCTCTGCGGCCAGCCGGCAGATGGCCCGAGGCAGGCTGTGCATGCTGCGTGATTCCAGACTCGGACGAAAGTCACACAACCGGGGACTTCACGCATGCGACCCCGCGTGCAAATGGCTTGGTGTCTGCAGTTTTTACAGGGACAAAGGCAAGACCACTGCCCCCTGCAGGAGGTGCCGGGAGTGGCTCCCGCTGTGGGTTCCCGGGACGAGGGGCGGGTCCCCTGAGACGTGTGCTTCGTGCCGGGGCTGCGTGGGGGTTGCTGGTGGGAGGCAGGAGACAAGCTCCGGCTGCCGGTGGGCCAAGTGCCCACTGGGGTGCAGGGGCCCAGACAGCGTCTGAGCGGCTGTCCCCGCAGACCCTCACAAGAGGCTACACAGATCTCCCAGGGGTCAGTCCGGGTCACCCCTCCGTTTAAACACCAACTCTCAATAAAGTGCCTGTTTTGGAAACCAAAACTCCTGAAGTCTGCACTGCCCGCACCGTGGGACTCAGGGTCCAGGGGAGGGGCAGGCACCCGTACTGGGTGTCCCCATTCCTCACTACCCATCGTAATACCCCTGAATCTGCTACTGAAGCAGGTGACTAGGACATCAGGTACCTCTGACCAGGACTTGGGAGCTGGGTTGAGTCCAGTAACTAGGGAGGTGTGCGTGGTTTGGGGGGACCTGAGGACCCCATTCTGCTGTCTGATGTCAAAGGGACCTTACAATCAGGGATGGGGCAGCCACCCGCCCTCCTTGCTGAAGGACAGTCTGTTTCTTAGGTGGTGACAGATTGTTCCGTGGGACACAGCTCAGGACAGAAGGTGGGACCAGACACGGGCTGAACGTTTTAGGTCCTGAGGGGTTGTCGTTAAAGGGGAGGCAGGGCTCAGCCCAGAGGACACAGATCTCATTGCGCAGTGGGGTCCAGGGGAGAGGGCGCTGAGCCTGGGGCACACCCATCGTGGGCTGCGGGGACAAGCCCACCGCCCAGGGACGACCGCCACGGTGGGCACGGTGTTCGGAAGAGCTCGGAGTGCTCCTCATGGGGGGCTGTCTGGAGTTGTGCCCACAGTCCCTGACGCTGTCTGAGGGGAGGTCTAAGTCTGGTTGGAGCCGCTGGGGCTGGGCTGGGGCTGGTCCAAGCAGCTGCCCTGCTGGCCACACCAGGCCCGTCCCGTCCACTGCAGGCTCCCCCCGCACCCTGACACCGTCCTCCTGTGTGGGGCCCACTCTACCCAGATCCACCTTCCGCTCCTCCCTCAGCCCACAGAGAATCACAGTGCCCACCCCGGCCCCTGGCTCCCAAATCCACTGGGTCCAGCTGCCCTCAAGGGTTTTGGCTGTGAGACTGGCCTCAGCCCACTGGACTTGGGGGCACCTTGGTGGGTGTGGGGGCCGGAGCCCATGGAGGTCACAGTGCCTTGCCCACCGCCCACTCCGCGTGGCCTGTGTCCTGTGAGGGGCACTGCGTGGTCACTTCCTTGGGCGAGGCCTCGTCTGCTGTCCCCCAGCCCAGCTGTGGAGACTGGCCGGGCACATCCTGAATCCGACCAAAACCCCCTCAGCCCAAGGACCCGAGAAGGCGACGGCAGCCCAGGACGCCGTGAGGGACGGCATAGCGCTCATGGCCCACCTGCTGCAGAACCCGGCTGAGGCACAGCCCCCGAAGCTGCCGGCCCCCGGGGCGAGTTGCCGGGACCCAGCTCCTGCCTCCAGCCACGCGGCCTGCACAACCCCAACCCGATGCTCAGACCAGCCGCCTCCAGGGAGACGGATGTGCCTGTTTGATCACTTCTGTTGTTTTTTAACTGAAGCCATTCGAAACGTGGGAGTCGGTCCCTGTCTCTGCCTGGTCACCCTCTCCAGGATCGAAAATACCGCACTGCCTCTGACCCCACCGTCCACTGGGTGATGGCGCGGATGGTGTCTGGCCCCGCCTCAGGCCCCACGCAGTGCACACCCGGCAGCCACGTGTCTCAGGTAGGGCCTGCCGTGTGACACAGACCGCAGATCCATGACTCGGGGCCACAGGGACACATGGTGCCAAAGGAGGCAACGCGGGAACCGAGACAGGTCCTGACCCTACCCTGTGGGAGTGGCAGAAAAATCCAGGTGTGGGTGTCACCTCGAGGCGTCTGGGGGGACAATGGCACAGTGCTCCTCTCCGGGGGACACAGATGTGGAGTGTGGAGGCTGGTGGGATCCCACCCAAGCCCAGAACCCACAGCAGCCTGTTGACCACAGCAGATGGGCGTCTGGCCAAGGACAGCCGAGGATGACTGGGCAGGGGCTCGGGAAGGGCTGGGAGGTGAGGGTGTCGGCCCCCAGCGCCCCCGGTTTGAGCGCTCAGGTGCCTGTCCCTGGATCAGCTCAGGACCGGACTTGTCTGTGTTTAGTTCGTTATTGCTTCCGGCAGCCCCGATGCTGTGGGGTCTGACAGACACCGGAGGTCCAGGCGGCCGGGCCACGAGGGGCATCCACCCCGCAGCACAGAGCCCACGGCGGACACCAGCCCCGGGTCGGAGGTCCGAGGAAGCGTGTGGAAGTTGGGGCTGCGTTCAGCTCTACTAAGGGGCGCAGGCATGCGGGGGCATGCGGGGGTACACGGGTCATTCCAAAGGGCCGAGCATCGCCAAGCAGGGGTGCAGTGTGCTAGGAACGCCACGCATGGTGGCTTCCTCTCGTTTTGGTGGGAGTGACGGGCGGCACCAGCACCCAGTGCCCTGTTCACAGGGCTCGAGATCGGAGAGTCCCACTCAAAGGCCCTAACATTGTGCATGAAAATTGTACAAGATTAAAAATAAATAAGGCAACACAACAGTCGTATCACAAGGAGAAGGAAGTGCTCTCCCCACACGCCAGGGGGTGTATGGCTGCGGCCCCTCGTCACGGAGCAGGGCGTGGGCTGCTGGCGACCCAGTGGGGACCGGGAGGTTCAGAGCGGCCCCGGGAATCCTTGGCTTCGCACAGGCGGCTCTGTGGACCGAGGTCCCGCCCTTCGAGGCTGAGTCTCACGGGATGTCTGGAGTGTCCAGCTGGGCTGTCACCCAGGTCCACCTGCCCCCACTCGTGGGGCTGTGCTCGTGGGTGATGCCGCTTCCTTGACGACCGTGGCTGGGGGTCCCCCCTCCCCGGCTGCTGCCACCCCCCTGCACTTCCACGGGGAACGAGGCCACACAAACCCCAGACAGCAGGGCTCGCTCCCCAGCTCACAGCGCGTCCCAGCTCCCTCTGCAAAGTGCCCTTTGCTGTCGGAAAGCGTGGCCACAGCTGGGCCACCCTGACACCCCACCTGCTCTGGGCAGTGATGGCGTCCTGGCCCGACAGAGTGGTCCTTGGGAGGGGGTGCCCCATCCTGCGCTGCTGCCCACCCACAACCTGGAGCCTCCCCAAGAGGAGGCCCCGCCCCAGGCCCACACACCCCCAGTCACCTCCCCTGCCGACTGGACCCCTGGGTTCACGACCGTAAACTCCCAAACACGCATCCGGGGCAGGTTCTGCCACAGAAACGCCTCCGCCCGGGAGGCTTCCCAAGGTGTGAGCAGCCCTGTTCTTCAAAGTCACGGAGCCTCGGACGGCATTCAACAGGCCGAACCCCAACAGGCCACTTGGAAAGGAAGGACCGTCCTGACCCCCCAGCATGGCCACCGGGGCAGAGCAGGGCGCCCGGGCTTCCCGCCGGGGGGCTCACACAGAAGGGGGCGCACTGGTCGCCATGCGGAGAAGTAGCGGTGGCCCCAGGCTCCGGAGACCCGCCTCTGGCTCGCAGCCGAAAGCAGCTGTTGAAAACCGGCAGCCTCCGCCCTCCGGCCCCGGGGCCGGGCTCCTCGGTTCTCCCCAAACCGTCCATCCAAGGCCCGGCGGCTCTGGGCCTGGGCCCGGCCCTCATCCACGGCCCTGGAGCAAGACCGACCACCTCTCTGGGCTCCTGCAGGCCTGCTGTGACCAGCCAGCCAGACCTGGCGCGTCCCCGAGCCCTGGCGCAGGCCCGAAAGTCCTCACACCCGTGCTCCCTGCCCGGCCTGGACCGAGGACAGGACGGGGCGCCACGCTACCAAGAAGCCTCGTGTCCATGCAGGCCCCTCCTCGGGCCACTGCCCAGCTGCTTCGGGTCCTGCCTGGACAGCGCCCCTCCCCCAGCCTGGCGCCGGCCCAGCCCTGCCCTGCCAGCCGGTGGGCCCCCCGCAGGAACGAGGCCCTGAGCATTCTGCCCTGTGCCCCAGCGGCCAGCTCGGGCCCGCTAAGCCTCCTTCCCAGCTGCTCCCGGCGGCAGGTGCGGGTCGGGGGGCCGGGGGTCAGGCCCCGAGGCCTGCGGAGCCCCCAGCCCGGTTCCGACAGGGAGGCCGGCCACGGAGGACACCGGGGGGTGACCCGTGGCCAGTCTGGTCTGGAGGCCAGCCCTCCTGTAAGGACACATTTTCCGCTCCGAGTTCAGGGACCTGCTTTGCGAGCCATTTCCGCTGGCCCTGCCCTCCAGGAAGTACGTCAGCATCTCGCCCTTGCCCTTGACGCTGACCTTGCCCCGGCACAGGAACTGGTAGGCGCCCTGCCTCAGCAGCCGGTGCACCTCCTCCGTCACCTGCGGGAGGAGAGGGGGCCTGACTCTCTGCAACAACTGGCCCGCACACTGGTCACTCCCGGGGAGGGCAGGAACCTGCCGAGAGCCAGGGGGCTGGGGCTCCTGGTGGGGACTAGCCTGGGAGTCGTCCTCCTGTGGGCCCTGGGCAAGCAGGAGACAGCCGTGCTCACCACGGGCACCACCAGAGCAGGCGGCTGGAGGGGCCCACATGGACCAGGCGCCAGGACAGGGCGGGGGCGGGGGGGACTGTGGGGCTCAGCCGGGGCTCTCGGCACCCGCCGTGCCCCAGGACGGTGGCTGCAGTGGGGACAGCACAGAGTGGCGTTGGAGCAACACCAGGCTGCCCCCCGGTCGCTGGCCAGAGCCCGCAGTGATCAGGGGCACAGCGAACATCCAGGGACCCCTGGTGCCTCCGAGGGCCCTGGAGTGGGGGGCCCGCCCCCGAGGGAACAGAGCGTGACTGAAGAGCCCTGAAGCTTGGGCTCCCGGGATTTAGCCAGACTCCTGTGTCACAGACTTAGGAAAAAGGTCAAAGACCAGGAAGCACTTTGTCATCGAGTCCCGTAAACCGCAGAGGACAGGACGGCTTGGTGTGTCCTTCCTCCGGCTGGAGGAGCCCCCCCCCCGCCTGTGGGGGTCCCCCGGAGCCCAGGCTTCCGCGTCCCCAGGGTGTGCCAGCCCAGCCCAGCCCACATGCCCCACCCCCGGACAGTGAGTGCCTCCCCACGGGGACCCGGTCGGTCCCGCCCTGTGGGGCTCCCACACCACACAGCAGGTCTCCAACAAGCACCCCTCTCGTGGGAGAAGGAGGAGCAGGCGGAGGAAGGGATGGTGGGCGAGGACAAGCATGGCCAGACCAGCCGAGCTGCCGCGTCTAAAACCACCACAGCAGCCCGGCCGGTGTGGCTCCGTGGGTGAGCGTCGACCCTGCACCAAGAGGTCACCAGTTCGACTCCCGGTCAGGGCACATGTCCAGTTGTGGGCCGGATCCCCAGTGGGGGGCATGCAGGGGGCGGCCAGTTGTTCTCTCTCATCGATGTTTCCATCTCTCCTCTCCCTTCCTCTCTCGCTAAAATCAATAAAGGGTGAAAACTGGGAAAATATATCTTTAAAAAAAAAACACCCACCGCAGCACACGAGGAGCCGCAGCTCCTGGGCACAGGCCCTCAGCCGCTGGTCGGCGGTGTAGACAGGAATGGCGCACGCCCGGCCCACAGGAAGGGAAGGGTGCTGTCATCCCTGCGGCTGCTGGTCAGCTAGGCCCTGGCTGCAGGAGGTGCCAGTGCCCTGAAGACTTGGGACTGAACTGACCTGGATTCTGCCCGGGACCCCAGTGCTATCCATCCGACTGGCCACGTTGACCGTGTTTCCCCAGATGTCGTACTGCGGCCGACGAGCCCCAATCACTCCGGCCACCACAGGGCCAACGTTTATGCCTGGAAGACACCACCCCGTGGGGTTTGCAGGGACACACCCAGGGGACGGAGCTGCCCCTCTGGGGTGCGCGCACCTGAAGTCTCCTAGCCCAACCCCCTCCCTGAAGCAGGACCCGCAGCCTCACAGGCCAGCATTGTCCTGACCCTGAGAACAGCGCCCCGTGCTGAGCTCCCCTGGAGGAGTCTGTGGGTTGCCATGTGCCCCCCGAGCTCCCTTCCCAGAGGAACAGGGGCTCCTGCCCACTCCCCTGGACGGGACCCTGTGGCTGTCTCGGGTACGGGGCCCAGAACTGATCACAGCATCTCAGGACGCTCTGAGGGGGGATGGAGGCTCCTCCTCTCTATGGGGCTCAGGCCGATGGCCCTGTGGCCTTCGTCCAGTTCACCACTCCCAGGGGAGAGCCCGGCCGCCAGCCCTGAGTGGGTGCGGGAAGGCCGATGGCCACGTACCCACGCGGAGCACGAAGTCGTTGTAGGACTGGTAGTTGATTTCGTCCAGGACGTCAAACATCTCGATGGCGAAGTCGGCCAGCGTGCTGAGGTGGGAGGAGATGCTCTTCTTGGCCTGGACACGAGCAGACACGGGCGTTACATTGTGGGGAGCAAGGGCCGAGGGGCAGGGACACCCACAGGCCACCGGCTGCTGGTGGGAGACCAGCCTGCAGCCTGGTGGGATCAGAGACCCCACATCGACAAGGCAGCCCCCCGGGGTGTGGGCCTGCTTCTGTGGCCCCGGGGACAGACTGGTCTTCATCAGAGGTCTGGTACCTACAGCTTCCCGGGGTGTGCTCAGCACCCCAATGGACAGGCAGGAGACAGAGGCCAGCTGAGCCCAGGCCCAGCCCATCACAGACAACGGGCCGCACCTGTGAGGGGGAGACAAGATGTCCCAGGTCCTGCTAGGACAACAAGTCACCATGTCATAAACAAGGGAACAGGGCAGCAGCGGGCACCTCGGGGAGCAGGCCCAGCTGTCCCTCAGCACACGGGACCACATCCGTCACCACTGGTGGTGTCGGAGATCCTTGCCTTTTTTTTTTAATTTTTATTTTACTAAATTATTTTTGTTACAGATGTTTCTCCTTTTTTCCCCATTGACACCCTCCTCCCAATGCCCCCCCCACCCCATCCCCAGATGTTGTCTATGTCCATGGTTACGCATACACGCCTATAGGTTCTGTGGTTTATCTTTTTCGAGAAACGATAAGAACTGTACATTTTTTTAAAGATACCAGGATTAATTCCAAAAGGGCGGCGGAGTGAATGGAAGCTACACAGACCGTCTCCCAGGGCCAAACTGGAATTACAACTAAAATCAAGACAAATCATCAGGAAAAAGCAACAAAAAAGCAGCTTGGAGGACCATATAACCAGGGACACTGAATCAATCCTGGTAGGATTGTGGAGGCGCGAGAAGGGGGCTGGGAGCCCACAGACAGCAGCGGCCTTAGCTGTGAGCAGCACCCTCGGGGATACACTCCCAAGTGGCTCCACAGAACAGAGCTGAGACAGACGCTAAAATAGCCACAGCCACTCACTTTGGGCTCTGGCAGAGGGAGGGCAGACTGGACTGGAACTGTGTGGGGACACTCGGGATTTGGAGGGCGCTTAGAGCTTTTGCTGAGTGGCAGCCACGCAGGACAGTGGTCATCTTACTCTGGGGAGAGGCAGTGGCCCCTCCCTCGGAGATTCAACCCCACCCAGGTGGGCCATTAAAATGCAAATTGAGGCTCATTAACAACCAGCATCTGCCCCACCCTCGGGAAATCCCCTTATGCTGAGCACCTGAGGGAGTTTTTCACTAAAATGAGAACCCAAGGCTCTTCAAGTAACCGCTACTAATAGCTTCCAGGCAAAAAGCTAGAGGATAAATGAACCTTTCCTGGGCTTGCAACTCTCCCCAGGAAAGTAAGACTTGACAGGGGTGTTTCACATGGGTCCTCCTACCCTCAACCAAACCCAGCAGAGGGAGCCAGAAACAGCAGAACACTAACACCCACAGGGAAAATTTGGCAGCTCCAAAACCCACTGAGATAGCAAAAATGGTGAAACAAAGAAACAAATCCCAAAAAAAAGAACAAGAGACCTCTACCGAAGATGAGATAAATGAAATGCAATTAAGCAAGTTAACAGAGCTAGAATTCAGAGCCATGTTCTTGAGGAAGCTCAACAGCATGAGTAAGGACATCAACGCCATGAGTAAAGACATAGAAACATTGAAAATCAACCAACTGGAAATTAAAAACCACCAAAAAGAAATAAAGAACTGGAAACGTAATAATATTCGCATCATTGGAGTCCCCAAAGAAGAAGAAAATGGGCAAGGGTTAGAAAACTACCCAAATTTGGTGAAGGAAGAAGGTATTCAAGTTCAAGAAGCACAGAGAGCCCCAAGTAAGAAGAACCCAAACAGGCCCACACCAAGACAAATAGTAATTAAAATGCCAAAAATTAAAGACAAAGAGAGAATCCTAAAGGCAGCAAGAGATAAGCAACAGGTTACCTACAAAGGAAACCCCATCAGGCTCTCAGCTGACTTCTCAACAGAAACACTACAGGCCAGAAGGGAGTGGCATGAGGTAATCAAGGTCATGAAAAACAAGGATCTGAACCCAAGACTACTCTACCCAACAAGGCTATCATTCAAAATAGAAGGTCAAATAAAGAGCTTCCCAGACCAAAAAAAAAGGCTAAGGGAATATATTAACACCAAACCAGCACTGCAAGAAATGTTAAAAGGACTGCTGTAATTAGTAGAAGAAATAGGAAGAAAAATATAACCACACTAAACAAAAATGGCAATAAATAAGTACATATCAATAATCACCTTAAATGTAAATGGATTGAATGCTCCGATAAAAAGACACAGAGTAGCCCTGGCCGGTTTGGTTCAGCGGTTGGAGCGTCAGCCTGCGGTCCTGAGAGACCCGAGTTCGGTTCCCGTCCCCGGCCCTGGTCGGTTGTGCGGGTGGCAGCCACTCGATGTGTTCTTTTCACATCGATGTTTCTCTCTCTCTCTCTCTCTCTGTTCCTCTCTCTCCCTCCCACTCTACCTGAACAAAAATGGAAAAAATGTCCTCGGGAGAGGATAAAAAAAAAAAAAAAAGACACAGAGTAGCTGATTGGAAAAGAAAGCATGAAACATATATATGTTGCTTACAAGAGACCCACCTCATGACACAAGACTCACATAGGCTGAAAGTGAAGGGATGAAAAAAAATCTTCCAAGCAAATGGAAAGGAGAAAAAAGCTGGGGTAGCAATACTCATATCAGATAAAATAGATTTCAAAATGAAGGCCATAACTAGAGACAAAGAAGGCCACTACATAATATTGAAAGGATCTATTCAACAGGAAGATATAACCTTGATAAACACATATGCATCCAATATAGGAGCACCAAAATATATTAAAAATCTTCTGGAGGACTTCAAAGGAGAAATTGACAGCAATCCAATCATAGCAGGGGACTTCAACACTTCGCTGACATCACTGGATAGATCCTCGAGACAAAAAATTAGCAAGGAAACAGACTCTAAATGAAGTACTAGACCAAATGGATTTAATAGATATCTACAGAGAATTACACCCCAAAACTAGAAAGTTCATATTCCTCTTAAGTGCACATGGGACAGTCTCAAAGATAGACCACATGTTAGGACACAAACTAAGTCTCTACAAGCTCAAGAATGAAATCACATCAAGCATCTTCTCAGATCACAATGGCATGAAACTAGAAATCAACTGCAACAAGAACATGCAAAGACATTTGAACACATGGAAGCTAAATACCATGTTATTAAACAATGAATGGGTCACCGAGGAGATCAAGGAAGAAATTTAAAATTTCCTGGAAACCAATGAAAATGAACACACAACAACACAAAATCTATGGGATGCAGCGAAAGCAGTTCTGAGAGGGAAGTTCATAGCACTAGAGGCCTACCTCAAGAAACAAGAAATATTTCTAATAAACTATCTAACCTCACAACTTAAAGAACTAGAAAGCAAACAAAAAGAAAACCCCAGAGCAAGTAGAAGGAAGGAAATAGTAAAGATCAGAGCAGAAATAAATGACATAGAGACCAAAAAAAAATTCAAAGGATCAATAAAACAAAGAGCTGGTTTTTCGAAAACATAAACAAGATTTATGGACCCTTAGCTAGACTCACCAAGAAACAAAGAGAGAGAACCCAAATACACAAAATCAGAAGTGAAAGAGGAGAAGTAACAACTGACACCACAGAAATACAAAGGACCATGAATAAATACTATGAACAATTACATAGCAACAAATTCGACAATCTAAGCAAAATGGACATATTTCTAGAAACACATAGTCTCCCACAACTGGACCAGAAAGAGATCAAAAACTTGGAATTTTACCAAACATTCAAAGAAGAACTAACACCCATTCTCCTCAAACTATTTCAAAAAATTCAAGAGAAGGAAGACTTCCAAACTCGTTTTATGAGGCCAGCATATTTCTAATTCCAAAAGCAGAAAAAGACACTAAAAGAAAGAAAACTACAGGCCAATATCCTTGATAAACATAGATGCCAAAATCCTGAACAAAATACTAGCAAATTGGATCCAGCAATACATCAAAAAAATTATTCACCATGACCAAGTGGGATTCATCCCAGGGATGCAAGGCTGGTACAAATTTTGCAAATCAATAAAAATGATACACCACAAAGACAAAACGAAGAATAAAAACCACATGATCATATCAATAGATGCTGGGAAAGCATTCAACAAAATCCAGCACTCATTTCTGATAAAAACACTCAGCAATGTGGGAATAGAGGGATCATATCTCAACATAATAAAGGCCATATATGAAAGACCAACAGTCAACATCATACTCAATGGGCAAAAACTAAAAGCATTTCCCTTAAGAACAGGAACAAGACATGGATGCCCACTTTCACCACTCTTATTTAACATAGTACTGGAAGTCTTAGCCACAGCAATCAGACATGAAGAAAAAATAAAAGGGATGCAAATTGGAAAGGAGAAAGTGAAACTGTCATTATTTGCAAATGACATAATATTATATATAGAAAACCCTAAAGACTCCATCAAAAATCTACTAGACTTAATAAATGAATTTGGCAAAGTAGCAGCATACAAATTTAATGTCAAGAAATTAATGGCATTCTTATACACCAATGATGAAGTCACAGAAAGAGAAACTGAAAAAACAATCCCATTTACCATTGTGGCAAAAAAATTAAGATACCTAGGAATAAACTTAACCAAAAAAATAAAGGACCTATTTGCAGAAAACTACAGGATATTAAAAAAAGAAATAGAGGAAGATATTAAAAAGTGAAAGCGATATTAAAAAGTGAGAGCGCATACCTTGTTCATGGATTGGAGGAATTAACATCATTAAAATGTCCATATTACCCAAAGCAATCTATAAATTCAATGCAATCCCCATCAAAATACCAATGGCATATTTCACAGAACTAGAACAAATATTTCAAAAGTTCATATGGAACCAAAAAAGACCCCGAATAGCCACAGCAATCTTGAAAAAGAAGGACAAAGTAGGTGGGATCACAATACCAGATATTAGGTTATACTACAAAGCGACTGTAATCAAAACAGCCTGGTACTGGCACAAGAACAGGCATATAGACCAATGGAACAGAACAGAGAACCCAGAAATGGACCCAAGACATTATGCTCAATTAATATTTGACAAAGGAGGCAAGAGCATACAATGGAGTAAAGACAGCCTCTTTCATAAATGGTGTTGGGAAAATTGGACAGCTACATGCAAAAGAAATGAAACTAGACCATCAACTTATACCCTACACAAGAATAAACTCAAAATGGATAAAAGACTTAAATGTGACCTTTATGGATTTAAAAGACTTAAATCCATAAAAATCCTAGAAGAAAATGTAGGCAACAAAATTTCAGACATCATACGCAGCAGAATTTCCACTGATACATCACCTAAGGCAACAGAAATAAAGGAAAAAATGAACACATGGGACTACATCAAACTCAAAAGCTTCTGCACAGCAAAAAAAACAACCATCAAAATGGAAAGGCAACCCACTGTATGGGAGAGCATAACTGTCAATGATACATCAGATAAGGGGTTAATTTCCAAAATATATAGAGTGCTTATACAGTTCAACAAAAGGAAGACAAAGAACCCAATTTAAAAATGGGCAGAGGAGGTAAATAGACACCTCTCCAAATAGGACATACAAATAACCAAGAGACATATGAAGAAATGCTCAACATCACTAATCACCAGAGAGAAGCAAATTAAAACAACAATAAGGTATCACCTCATACCTGTCAGAATGGCCGCCATCAACAAATCATCAAACAACAAGTGTTGGCGAGGGTGTGGAGAGAAGGGGACTCTAGTGCACTGCAGGTGGGAATGCAGACTGGTGCAGCCACTATGGAAAACACTATGGTGTTACCTCAAAAAATTAAAAATTGAATTGCCATTTGACCCAGTGATCCCACTCCTAGGAATATACCCTAAGAAGCCTGAAACACCAATCAGAAAGAATATATGTACCCCCAGTTTCATAGCAGCACTATTTACAATAGCTAAGATCTAGAAACAGCCCAAGTGTCCATCAGTAGACGAATGGATAAAAAGCTGTGGTACATATACACAATGGAGTACTATGCAGCTGTAAGGAAAAAAGATCTCTTATCCTTTGAGACAACATGGAGGGACCTAGAAAGTATTATATTAAGCAAAACAAGCCAAGCAGAGAAAGACAAATACCACATGACCTCACTTATTTGTGGAATATAATGAACATAACAGTCTGAGGAATAGGGTAGACCCAGAGACGTGGCAGAAGGATACAGACTGACAACCCTCAAAAAAGGGGGTGGGGGGGAGGGAAGAGATAAACCACAGAATTATGTGCATGTACGCATAACCAATGGACACGGACAAGAGTCTGGTACGGGGTTGGGGGGATGGGGAGGAGGGTGTCAATGGGGAAAAAAAGGAGAAACATCTGTAACAAAAATAATAAAAAACTAAATAAATAAATAAAGATACCAAGATTTCTCATTTTTCTTTGTTAAGGGATATTTAACTAGTTCTCATATTTGAGGAACTAAAGCTTTTTTTTTTTTAATGAACCTACAGGTTTTAGAACCGATTCAGGTTTGCAGATTATCTGAGCCCACAGTACGAAGAGTTCCCTTTCACTACGCACCCCCACAAACACACAGAGCCGGCTACTGTTAACTTCCTGGCATAGGGGATTTTGTTTAGGTTTTGTGATACAGGGTTGATACACTGTTGCCAATGACTCATTAGTATTTGAAGTCCACAGTTTACATCAGGGTTCACACTGTGCTTTGTATCTTCTACGGGTTTTGACAAACGTGTATAATTGTAGTATGATGTAGAACAGTTTCACTTGAAAAAAAATTTGTCTATAGACTGTCTTTTCATTATAGTATTTTCCACAGAGTAGAATTGTAACACTTTAATTAGGTCCAACTTACCCATGTTTTGTTTCATGGATCATGCCTATGGTGTGGTCCCTAAAACTCACCACTGAAGCCAAGGTCACCTCGGTCTTCTCCCATGTTGTCTTCTAGATGATTCCGAGTTCCACATCTTACATTTAGTTCTATGATCCGCTTTGAGTTAACTTTTGTGAAGAGTGTAAAGTCTGTGTGGAGATTCACTTTTTACTTTTTTTTAATTTTTTTTTTTCTTTATTGATTTTGGGGGGGGGGACAGAAACACTGATGAGAGAGAACATCGATTGGCCGCCTCCTGCATGCCCCTTACTGGGGATTAAGCCCACAACCTGGGCATGTGACCTGACCAGGAATTGAACTGGCAACCTCCTAGTGCAGGGGTCAATGCTCAACCACTGAGCCACACCAGCCAGGCGAGATTCACTTTTTAAAATAGATAATGATAAGTAGATAACAGATACAGATAGATGATAAATAGATGATAGATACATAGATGATAGATGATACATAGATGACAGATAGATATAGATAGATGGATAGAGATAGATAGATAGATAGATAGATAGATAGATAGATAGATGATAGACAGATGATAGATGATCGATAATAGACAGATGATATAGATAGATGATAGATGGATAGATAGATGATAGATAACAGATAGGTAGATGGTAGATGGTAGATGATAGATGATAGATAGATAGATAGATAGATAGATAGATGATGATAATAGACAGATAGATGATAGATAGATAACAGATAGATAATAGATAGATAGATAGATAGATAGATGATAGATAACAGATAGATAGATAAATAGATAGATGATAGATATAGATAGATAGATAAATAGATGATAGATAACAGATTGATAGACAGATAGATGATAGACAGATAGATAATAGATAGATAGATAGATAGATAGATAGATAGATAGATAGATAACAGATAGACATATAATAGATAGATGATAGATAGATAGATAGATGATAGATAGATGATAGATAACAGATAGATAAATAGATGATAGAGATAGATGATAGATAGATAGATAGATAGATAGATAGATAGATAGATAGATAGATGATAGATAACAGATAGGGAGATGGTAGATGATAGATGATTGATAGATAGATAGATAGATAGATAGATAAATAGATGATAATAGACAGCTAGATGATAGATAGATAGATAACAGATAGATAATAGATAGATAGATAGATGATAGATAACAGATAGATAAATAGATGATATAGATAGATAGATAGATAGATAGATGATAGATAACAGATTGATAGATAGATGATAGATAGATAGATAGATGATAGATAGATAGATAGATAGATAGATGATAGATAACAGATTGATAGATAGATGATAGATAGATAACAGATAGATAGACATATAATAGATAGATAGATGATAGATAGATGATAGATATAGATAGATAGATAGATGATAGATGATAGATAACAGACTGATAGATGATAGATAAATAGATGATCGATAGATAGATCGACAGATGATAAATAGATGACAGAGGGTGTTCAGTGTTTCCAGTGCCGTTGGTTGAAGAGTCTGTCTCGGCCCCATTTGCTCCTCTGTGGGAGGTCGGCTGGCGGTAGGTGTGAGGGTCCAGCTCCGGGCTCTCTGCTCTGCCCCACTGACCGGCGGTCTGTTCTTTCGTCGACACCACACTGTCCTCAGCTGCAGCTTCGCGGTGGGTCTTGAAGTCGGGCAGCGTCCGTCCCCAGCTCCTCCTTCAGTGCAGTGCTGGCTGCCCCGGGCCTTTGGGCTGGCATCACAGAAGAACCTGCTGGACTCTGGACGGGGGTCGCATGAGACCTAAGGTCAGTGTCGGGACGACTGACATTTCAACAGCAGCGAGTCCCTGTGCAGCCACGGGAGTCCTCGGGGTCCCGTCCTCGGGGTCCCATCGTCCTCGGCACGCAGGCCCGTGCACCCCCAGAGGTGGGTCTGCTGGTTAGCTGGGGTGGGGGCGTCTAATGTGAACAGTTGTCATGTGTTTCTAGTTTCGAATTCCACTCGGTCGCCCCGGCACAGGAAGGCTCCTGACCCGCGCATGTGAATCTTGCATCCTGCAGCCTCTGCAACTGCTTCTGATTCCACCGTCTTGACTGATTTCAGCCGCTAGGTCTGCCCAGCACTGGTCACCAGCGGCAACAGCGGGTTCCTCTACTCCTCCCGGCAATTCTGCCAGTTTCTGCCCCGCCCCCGGACTCTGATTCTCTGTCAAGTGCAAAACATCAAAGGTTATGTCTTGGATGAGTGACTGTCTTCATGATGAATGACCCCTTCTCTCTGAGGTTTTCCTTGATCTGACGTTTGCTTTGTCTGAAGTCAAGGCAGCTGCCTGAGCATTATTTTTGTCACTGCGAGCACAGTATGTCTTCCGACAGCCTTTCTTTCTCACGTCTCTCTGTCTTTATACTTAAAATGTGTTTCTTCTGGGAAACCCCATCAGGTCTTTTTTTTTTTTTTTTTTTTTTGTTTCTTTATTGATTTTAGAGAGAGAGGAAGAGAGAAGGAGAGAGAGATGGAAACATGGATGAGAGAGAACATCGACTGGCCGCCTCCTGCATGCCTCCCACTGGGCATGTGCCCTGACCGGGAATCGAACCGGCGACCTCTTGGTGCAGGGTCGACGCTCAACCACTGAGCCACACCGGACGGGCCAGTCGAGTCTTCTTTAAGCCACTCTGCCAGCTGTCTTTCCGCCGGTGTGTCCGCCATCCCCACAGAGTGACACAGGTGCAGCGGGCCTGGCTCTGCCACAGGCACAGCTCACTCACTGCCGGGGTGAAGGGGGGTCCTAGGACGGCCCTCTGTGCCGACTCTCAGCAGGAGACTGTGTCCGGAGAGAGCTGGTCACTGACAAGGTGGCCACAGGCCGCTGCGCTGACGCTGTGCAGAGGGCAGACGGGGGCCCAGAGGGGCCTGCGCAGGGCCCGGGGCAGTGGGGCACCTGGCCAGCACTCACCTGGGTCCCGGGGGCGGGTGCCAGCCCCGCGGCAGCCATGTAGGTGCTCCCGATGGTCTTGATCTTCTCCAGGTCCTGGTAAAAGTCTTTGTCCATGAGCTTTGTTGGAAACACAAAACTGTTCAATGTTACATTACATCTTAGACAGGCCCCCATGATGGCGGGATGCCAGGAGCAGCCGCACACAAGGTCGGGGCTCGGCTGAGAAACGCAGGCCTGAGGGGCTTCCCCAGAGGCCTCAGAAAGAGGAGCGGGGGACCCCACACAGTGCGCCCCTGCTCCAGCTCACGGCTGCCCAGGACAAGAACAGAGTCCCCAGGCGGAGGGACACAGGACTACCTGACACGAGGCGCCTGCCCCCACCTCCAGGTGCGCCGTCCAGCCCGAGCCCAGCACCCCCCTGGCAGCCTCCTCCTGTCCCGCCTGCACCCGAGGAGACAGATGCCTGTGCCTCCCCGTCTGGCCCTCGTGGGGCACCACCCGCAGTGGGAACAGGTCCCCTTGCCCCCCATCCTGGCCCAGGTCGCACGGCGCCGCGCCCTTACCTCGTCGAAGTCGGCGATGATCTCGTTGAGCAGCCGCAGACACTCCACCCCCATGTTGTTCCCGTCCAGCTCGATGTAGAAGTCGTTGAAGTTGGGGATGGACGCGAACATGACGCCCACCTGGGAGTAGGACTGGTAGTAGAGGTCCTGGGGGTCAGAGGGGGGTCAGAGGGCGGGTCAGCGAGGGCAGGGCGGGACCGCTGCGGAGGGGAGGGCTGGGGGCAGGGTGGCTTCTGGGGGGGACAGAGGGGCCCGGCACGAACGGCTGGGGGAGCCACTCCAGGCCCAGCTGGCCAAGCTGACCCTGGGACTGTGCCCCCGGAGCTAAAGGCTGACCGGGCCCCTTCCCGCTCGAGTCAGCATTGTCCCCCCTGCTCTGCGGCTCCGGCGGCCACAAGAAGGCCGGACCAGCCCACACGGCCGCCCCACGGCAGCAGCCGAAGCCAGGTCCTTCCTCACGGGTGACAGGCTCTGTGCTCTCCCCTGGGATCAAAGGCGCCACCATCTCCGGAGTCCTGACGGCCCGACCCCCCTGCTCTGGGGGTGGCGGAGGGGACCCTGAGCGCAGTGAGCCTCTGCGCAGTGGGTGGGCCCAGGGCGGCCCCCGCCGGTCTCTGCGGCAGGCCAGCGCTCACCATGTGCCGGGGGTTGGACATGAGGAAGTGCTGGGCCACGTGTGCCGGCAGCAGGTTGAAGAGGATCCTCCTGTTGTCCAGCTTCACCCTCTCCATGTCGTCCCGCTCCTCCTCCGCCTGCAGGGGGCGCCAGACACTCAGCACCCGGTGGCGACTCCGAACCTCCCGCCGTGGGGTGTCCCGCCCGCCAGTTCCGCAGCCCCCGTCCTCAACGCCCAGCCTGGGACGTCGGGCAGCGGGCGTGTCCGCAGCAGCAGCCCCATCTGTCCGCTGTCTCCTCCTTCGAGTCTCCCTCTGGCCCCCCTGCTCCCGGGCTGAACCCCTCATCCCCGTGTCTGCGGGGCTGAGCCCCACTCCCAGCGCAGTGGCCCCCACACCTCACATCTGCCCTGAACCCCGTCCACCTCGCCACGAACCACACCGCTCAACACCTTCACTGGTCACAAGCCTGGTCACAAGCCTGCTTCCTTCTCGTCCTTCATCCACACCAACAACAAGAGCACCCGGGCCCGCGGGCAGAGGAACTAGATGGGGTGACAGCGACCCAGAGGGCCATGGCTTTCGGGCAGGTCACCGCCTGGTGACGTCCACAGGAACTTCCACAGGACAGACAGTGGGAGCCTCGTCCATCTCCAGGGTCCGTCTCTGCCCCTGGGGGCCAGATGTCCAAACAGCCCTCTCCGTGGCCAAGTCCACTCTCGGGCCCCCCCGGCCCAGGCCCTGGGGGCCACCTGCCGCTGGCTCGTGGGGAACGTGGAAGCACCTCCCAGACTCCTGTTCCCGTGGAATCTCTACCTGCACCGGGACGGGGCTCCCGAGCTCTGAGACAGCAGAAAGCTGTGGAACCAGATGGGGCAGATCCGGCCCGAGCCGGTCAGCAGGTCAGCCGGGCCAACGCCCTGGAGCAGGTCTGACCAGCAGACGAGGCCGAGTCCCAGGTGGTGGCCCTGAGCTCTGGGCCAAGGAGCAAGTGCAGAGACTAAATCAGCCAACCGACGCCCCACCATCGCCACGTGAGGCCACGTGGTGGGGCTCCAGCGACACGCCACGGGGACCTCCCCGCCTGGCACAGAGCCCGTCTTCCGAAGCAGCTCAGCTCCGGAACATGTCGGCGTGGGCGGCTCCGCAGGGCCCACACCCCGAACGCACTAACAGGCCCGCAGGACGCCCCAGAGGCCTGTGCTGGGCCCTCAAAAGCCGAGGCGTCACCCAGCCAGGCAGCGAGCTGCCGCCTCCTCGCCCGCGGGGTGTAAAATGCCCGTTTTTTGGTTTTTTTTTATCCTCACCCGAGGACACTTTTCCATTTTTGTACAGATAGAGTGGGAGGGAGAGGAAGAGAGAGAGAGAGAAACATCAACGTGAAAGGGACACATCGAGTGGCTGCCACCCGCACGACCAACCAGGGCCGGGGACAAACTGCAACCGAGGTACGTGCCCTTAGCAGGAACCGAACCCGGGTCTCTCCGGACCGCAGGCTGATGCTCTAACCGCTGAGCCAAACCGGCCAGGGCAAAAATGCCCGTTTTTAAGGCCACAGTTCCTGCTCGACCGCGGGGGGCAGGGCATGTGCCGCCCAGTAGGGGTGGACGCGGCACCCGTGGCGCCGTCATCACAGTCGCAAGTTCATGTCGTGATTCTGCAGGTAGAAGCGAGAGACGCGCGGCTCCCAGGGCAGCCGTGGGGGACCCGCCCCGGCCCAGCATCGTTTTCCTGGGAAAGCGGCAGAGTGAGGTCCCCAGGAGCCGTTCGTTCGTTCGTTATCGGGCAGCTGACACCACAGCAGGTGCCGCTCCTTCCAGCAGGCAGACAGGTGGCAGGTGAGAGACAGGGAGGGACCTGTAAGCTAGGAGAGCCAGCCAGGGGGCGAGCCCTGCGGAGGAGGGGACGCTGCCCGCTGCCCGGGGAGGGAGGGACCTCTCCTAAGACCCGCAGTCAGTGCTGTTAGCACCTGCGCACTGACACACACAGGACAGCATTTTGACGAATGGGATAAGGAGGAAGTAACATTTTTAACAGGACACTTTGGCCCGGCCGGTGTGGCTCAGGGGCTGAGCATCGACCCTGCACCAAGGGGTCACTGGTTCTATTCCCGGTCAGGGCACATGCCCAGGTTGTGGGCCGATCCCCAGTGGGGGGCGTGCAGGAGGCGGCCCGTCGATGTTCTCTCTCATCGATGTTTCTTCCTTCCCTCACTCTCTCTAAAAATCAATAAAGGGAAAAAATTTTTTAAAGAATAATAATAAAGTAAAAGAACACTTTGTTTTATTTATTAATGGCACAGAAATTTTTTCTCTCCAAAATAGGATCCTCAGTGTCGATATTTTTTACTTGTTTGTTTTTATTCGTTTTTTTAATTGATTTTAGAGAGAGAGAAACATCGATGAGAGAGAACATCGATTGGCCGCCTCCTGCATGCTCCCCGCAGGGGATCAGCCCACAACCTGGGCCTGGGCCCTGACCGGGAATCGAACCGGCGACCTCTGGGTGCAGGGTCGACGCTCAACCGCTGAGCCACACCGGGCAGTGCAGATAGTATTTTAATGGAAGCAATGCCGTTGAATGTGCTTCAGGTTTAGAAAGAATCTCAGCCCCTCACGGTGAGAAGAGCCTCGGTGCTTCACTCAGCTTATTTCTCACCATGTTTTCTGGTTAATCCTCACCTGAGGATGTTTTTCATGGATTTTTAGAGAGAGTGGGGGTGGGAACATCGATGTGAGAGAGAGACATTGATGAGTTGCCTCCTGCAGGAATCTGACCAGGACCAGAACTGTAGCTGCAACCCAGGTCCCTGCCCTCGACCAGGAATCGAACCCAAGACTCTTTGGGCCGCAGGCCGACGCTCTAACCGCTGAGTCAAACTGACTCATCGTCTGTTTCAATCCATCCACGGACGCACACATTTTCGTTGAAAAGTGGCAAGTGTCCATCTCCACGGATAAGAGCCTGCGGTCTTCCCCGTGTACCCGCGGTTCCCCTGTGTACCCGCGGTTCCGAGGCCCAGGGCCCAGGTACCTGCAGTCAACCGCCATCCAGAAACACTGAGCGGAGAAATCTGTACACATCGTTCACACGGTTTCAGTGGAGAAGGAGGGTGACAAAATCTCCCGACATCCTGCTCACCCCCAGGACGCGGCTCATGCAGTGGGCACGCCTGCCCGCCGACCGCTGTCTCGGGCACCAGAGCCGGGGCCACGGGGTCACAGCGCTGTGTCCAAGCCCCCCTGGCTGCACCTCCTGGCGCCCAGAGCGGAACCCGGAGGTGCTGGCACTCAGATGTGCCCTTGAGGAGCTAGAACTTCTTCCTCCAGTGAGACGCCCGATGCCCCACGCCCCACGCCCCACCCCCACGTGCGCTGGTGTGAGAAAGGAGGGTTAGCAGGCGGCGGGCGGGGCAGGGGCGGTGGGCCCAGATGGCACATCCCTCGCGTGGCCGGCAGAGACGTTGTCGTCCTACGACCGTCACAGTCATCACCGCTGCTGTGACCCTCCGAGTCCGGAGACAAGGCGGGACGGCCACAGGCGAGGGCTGAGGGGCCGGAGGAAAAGCCCGTCTGTTCCCGTGGGTTTAGACAGCCAGCCGGGCCCCGACGGGGTTAGACAGACAGCTGACCCGAGCCCTCGGCCTGGCCACTTGGCGACGGCGACAGCGGCACCAGCCGAAACGTCCAAGGGCAGACCCACCATTTAGAAACATCCTTGTTTCGCTGGATTTACAGGAGAGCGAGGGGTCGCTCTTTGTGACATATCCTGGGAAAACCGCGTCCCTGTGTCCCGTGTGGGAGCCCCCCAGGACAGAAACCCTGGAAAGCTCACCTTGCAAAGGGGCCAGCGTGTTGAGGCATGTCACTGGTGGGGAGCCCAGGACGGAGCTGGTCAGCTCTTGTATTTAATGACATTTAAAGAGACACCAACACCAGGAAAAGCCCTCGCCAACCCAGGTGACAGAAGACGCCTGGCCAGGGGGTCCCCAGCTGGAAGAGTCATCGGCCAAGGCCCCAGTGCCCTCTGAAACCTGCCCCCGAGCTGGCGTCCGGGTCGAACGTCGGACCAGCCCAGGCCTTCCGGCTCACCCTGTCTGTTCTCCAGCTCTGAGCAGCTGCTCATAATGAAAAGATTGAACCCAGAGAAGCAGAGCAGATGCATCTCGCCTCGGACCGGCAGCCTGGTCCCCGTGGAGACCCAGCCCGAGCCAGACCAGACCTTGCTCGGCAGCACAGCCCACACAAAGCACCGCGTCCTTACCCAGCGTGGCTCCAGCCCTGCCACGGCCGGTCTGCCCAGAACCCAGGGCTGGCGGCCACCCTCACCCGGAGGCCCTCCCGACAGGTGCTCCATCGGGCACAGCCAGTGGGAGCCAGCAGGAGCAGGGAGGAGGGAGGGCACCGGGCTGGGTCACTGTGCCGAAGGTTGTGATTCTGTCTGGTGGCCCACCCTGTCCCAAGTTCTGGAATCTGTCCCCTGGCTCCCAGTCTGCAGTGGGAATGGGGGCCCCTGAGGTCCAGACAGCCCACCCAGGCATCCCTGCCCCGTGGGGCCCCCACCCCCTGGAATCCAGCCTCGGGCATGGAATGAAGAGAGTGCCGGCCAAAGACCCCTCAGAGTCAGTGGTCTCCCCACAAGGCTGGTCAGAGCTCCTGCCAACATGGGGTGGGTTTACTGAGGACCGGCACTGACTGAGTGTACAGGTTGAAAAATAAATGAAAGAGGCAAACCTTCAGGGACAGAAAGCAGACCCGCGGTTGCTGGAATGCCTCTGGGGACGGAGAGCTCACTACCCACAAAACCACCAAACTCGGGCCCTCAGGGTTCATGGAGCTGTCTCGCCGGCCTTCCTGTGTGGTCTTCCCTCCAGCCCAGGTCCCACTCCTCGCCCTAGACAGCGCGCCTACCTGGCGCCCCTCCCCAGGGGACCCCCCGAAGACGCAGAAGGGCTCATCTTGCCTGTGCGGCCCAGAGGTAGTCCAGCCGCAGCCTCACGTCCACCTGCCGGGCGTGCAGGGCGAGCGTGCAGGAGAACAGCAGGACGGCCATGATCGGCTCGAAGCTGCGCCGGGAGGCCGCGCCGCCCCTTGGGCCGGAGGAAGAAACCCAGTCAGAGGCGAGACTTGGCCATGGACACACGGCCTGCCGGAAGAGGGCCCACAGACATGGCAACACAGCGGCCCCGGGGCTGAGCCAGGCCGGCCACGTGCCCCGGAACCGGAGGCCTTTCCACACCTGGGGCCCAAGAGGGGCAGTCGCCAACCCAGACGGTCCCAGAACACGCAGCCGCAGACATCGGACACCTGTGCCGGTCCCTTCCCGCAGCGAGGGGGCGACCCCCCAGCCTTGGTGTACCCACTGAGCTCCAGGCAAGGGGTGACCTACCCCCCAGCCTTGGTGTACCCGCTGACCTCCAGGCAAGGGGTGACCTACCCCCCAGCCTTGGTGTACCCGCTGACCTCCAGGCAAGGGGTGACCTACCCCCCAGCCTTGGTGTACCCGCTGACCTCCAGGCAAGGGGGCGACCTACCCCCCAGCCTTGGTGTACCCGCTGACCTCCAGGCAAGGGGTGACCTACCCCCCAGCCTTGGTGTACCCACTGACCTCCAGGCAAGGGGTGACCTAACCCCCAGCCTTGGTGTACCCGCTGACCTCCAGGCAAGGGGTGACCTAACCCCCAGCCTTGGTGTACCCGCTGACCTCCAGGCAAGGGGTGACCTACCCCCCAGCCTTGGTGTACCCGCTGACCTCCAGGCAAGGGGGCGACCTACCCCCCAGGCTTGGTGTACCTGCTGAGCTCCAGGCGAGGGGGCGACCTACCCCCCAGCCTTGGTGTTACCCGCTGAGCTCCAGACGAGAGGGGCGACCTACCCCCCAGCCTTGGTGTACCCACTGAGCTCCAGGCAAGGGGTGACCTACCCCCCAGCCTTGGTGTACCCGCTGACCTCCAAGCAAGGGGTGACCTACCCCCCAGCCTTGGTGTACCCGCTGACCTCCAGGCAAGGGGGCGACCTACCCCCCAGGCTTGGTGTACCTGCTGAGCTCCAGGCAAGGGGGCGACCTACCCCCCAGCCTTGGTGTACCCGCTGAGCTCCAGGCAAGGGGGCGACCTACCCCCCAGGCTTGGTGTACCCGCTGAGCTCCAGGCAAGGGGGCGACCTACCCCCCAGCCTTGGTGTACCTGCTGAGCTCCAGGCAAGGGGGCGACCTACCCCCCAGGCTTGGTGTACCCGCTGAGCTCCAGGCAAGGGGGCGACCTACCCCCCAGGCTTGGTGTACCCGCTGAGTTCCAGGCGAGAGGGGTGACCTACCCCCCAGCCTTGGTGTACCCGCTGAGCTCTAGGCGAGAGGGCGACCTACCCCCCAGCCTTGGTGTACCCGCTGAGCTCTAGGCGAGAGGGTGACCTACCCCCCAGCCTTGGTGTACCCGCTGACCTCCAGGCAAGGGGGCGACCTACCCCCCAGGCTTGGTGTACCTGCTGAGCTCCAGGCAAGGGGGCGACCTACCCCCCAGCCTTGGTGTACCCGCTGAGCTCCAGGCAAGGGGGCGACCTACCCCCCAGGCTTGGTGTAGCCGCTGAGTTCCAGGCGAGAGGGGTGACCTACCCCCCAGCCTTGGTGTACCCGCTGACCTCCAGGCAAGGGGTGACCTACCCCCCAGCCTTGGTGTACCCGCTGAGCTCCAGGCGAGGGGGCGACCTACCCCCCAGCCTTGGTGTACCCGCTGAGCTCCAGGCGAGAGGGGGGACCTACCCCCCAGCCTTGGTGTACCCGCTGAGCTCCAGGCGAGGGGGCGACCTACCCCCCAGCCTTGGTGTACCCGCTGAGCTCCAGGCGAGGGGGCGACCTACCCCCCAGCCTTGGTGTACCCGCTGAGCTCCAGGCGAGGGGGCGACCTACCCCCCAGCCTTGGTGTACCCGCTGAGCTCCAGGGCCAGGATGTAGAGCGTGCTGAGCGCCGAGAGCAGAAGCACCTTCAGCAGGGACGAGACCCTCAGGAAGACGGCGAGCGGGAGGGTGCCCACCAGGCCGCAGAGCAGGGCGTGGGGCGCAGACTCGCAGGGTGGGGTGGGCAGCACCACCAGGGACCCATTGGGACTGGGTCTCCAGGCCCAGGGCAGGCAGCCCACCTGGAGGGGACAGACGGCGAGACATTGAGCTGTCTGCCTCCGCTCCTTCAGACCCACTCACCAAGGGCCACAGCTTCACCCCCGCCCGGGTCCGTCCTCCAACCCCCCCGCCCCGGGTCTGTCCTCTGACCCCCCACCCAGGTCCGTCCTCTCTACTGCGAAGGGGCAGCTCTCACTGGACCACGAGAAGGTTGTGTTTCTTCTGCTGGATAAAGTCTCCTCCCCTGGTTTCCTGGGCACCCCCAGGCCCATCTGAGCCCCTACATCTCCCTCTCCCTCCCTGTCCAGCCCCCCACAGCTCTCCACAGGCACCCCTCATCCTGCCCCTCACTGCCCGCCACACCCAGCCTGCAGTGAGTCAGAGATGCTCACCACGTATCCTTGGGCCACGGAGTAGACCAAGACCACAATGAGAATGCACAGGACGGTGCGGATCCGGATGGTCAGGCACCCTGGGAGACACTGAACAGCACCGTCTCATGTCAGAACGGCCTCTGTCCCAAAGGGACCCACATCACCGCGAACAGCTCGGAGCTGAGCGACCTCATGCCCCACAGACTTGGCCGTGTTCTTGCATCTGAGCTCCCCACCGAAAAACCTGCTGGGGAGCCTGGTGTCCGCACATTGAAAAGACCAGACCTGCCCTCCCCGCACCGTGGCAGCGTCGCCGCCCCCAAGCAGACGCCCCCGAGCAGACGGGCCGGACACCTTCCATGGCGTCTGCCTCGCAAACCGTGAGAATTTCCAATTACTGGTGTCTTCACGCTTAAGTGAGTTTCATCGTTTTTTTCAGGCAGGTTTTGTATAATTTTTGTTAAGTTACTAGACTCTTTATCTTCGATCTATTTTTTAAATGCATGTTTCAATAGTCAACAATGTCATGGACAAAAGCCAGAGTTCTCTCCAGGCTGACAACTCTGGGAATCAGAATAAGACACAGGCGGAGACCCCACGGGGGACGTGGCCCGGACGTGGTCCGAACGTGGCTGGCGCTGCCGGGCCACACCTGTCTGGGTTTTCTTTTTTTGTTTTTGTTGTTGCTGTTAATCCTCACTCAAGGATATTTTTCCATTGATTTTGAGAGAGAGGAGAGAGGGAGGGAAGGAGGGAGAGAGGAACATCGATGGGAGAGAGACACATGGATCAGTTGCCTCCGATCGATGTGACCGGGGCCGGGATCGAACCTGCAATCCAGGCACGTGCCCTTGACCGGGAATCAAACCCGAGGCCCTTCGGTCCTCGCTCTAACCCCTGAGCCACACGGGCCAGGGCGTGGCTGCAGAGTTCAAGCAGTGTGGGCCAGGGGAGAAGGAGACCACCACAGCCTGCCCCCTCAGCCACCAGCTCCTGTTTCTTCTCCGCCGTGTGAGGCTTTAGGGCCCGAGGAGCACAGGGCACGGTTGGCACCAGGGAAGACACGCCCTGGGCACAGCTGGGCTGACTGCCCCCTCCCAGCGGATCCTGCTGTCCGGCCACACCCAGTCTTCTTTGGGGGCCCCAGGCGAGCACACGGGATGTGGGGCCTGCTGAAGGGAGTGTAGGAACCTGCCCACTGTCGGGCAGTGGAAGCCAAGACCGCACACTCCCTGCACTGCCTCCTGACCTCAAGCCCGGAGCAGACCGACTGCAGCTCACAGGGAGCCCACAGGGGGGGGGGGGGGAGCGGATGGAAGGGCTGAAGGAGCTGGGGTTCTGGCAAGAGACCTGTGTCACCACCGGCACCCAGGTCCCCAACGCTGGGGCAGACAGGCAGGCTTCAGAATGAGCAACCGCGTGTGATGCTTTCGCTGGACATTAGGTGACCAAAGCAATCCCGTCTGAGGTGGGGCATTTCAGTCACCCAACCAACGCCACTCCACTGCGAACGGCAGGGAGCTGGGATGTGGTTTGAACAAACGGCATTTATTTCATTTTTAAAAAGTCAAGAAGTTCCCTAGGAATAGGAAAGAGGTTCAAGGAGTGGAACTAGGTTTAATTTTTCAAGAAGTTGCTAGTTCCAACAATTACGAAAAACAGCAACGTCAGAGCTTAATGAGCTCCTGTTACTCGGGTGACACCTTCTACCTGCCAGGTGGACAGGCAGTCGGGGCAACGGCTCCACAACCCACCTGTCCTGCAGAGAGGACAGGTGGAGACACACGTGCACCTGTCCAGGTGATGCACGGGCACAGGTCACACACATGCACCTGTCCAGGTGATGCACGGGCACAGGCCACACACATGCACCTGTCCGGGTGATGCACGGGCACAGGTCACACACATGCACCTGTCCGGGTGATGCACGGGCACAGGCCACACACATGCACCTGTCCAGGTGATGCATAGGCACAGGCCACACACATGCACCTGTCCAGATGATGCACGGGCACAGGTCACACACATGCACCTGTCCGGGTGATGCACGGGCACAGGTCACACACATGCACCTGTCCGGGTGATGCACGGGCACAGGTCACACACATGCACCTGTCTGGGTGATGCACGGGCACAGGTCACACACATGCACCTGTCCGGGTGATGCACGGGCACAGGCCACACACATGCACCTGTCCGGGTGATGCACGGGCACAGGTCACACACATGCACCTGTCCGGGTGATGCACGGACACAGGACACACGCACGCACCTGGACCCGGGCGATGTGCAGGTACAGGACACAGGCCACCAAGAAGCAGATGCAAAACACCAGCAGGAGCAGCAGGACCACACTCCTGGGACAGAGATGGGCGTCACTGCAGGAGGCCTGGCAAGCTGTGCCCCAGAGGTGCCTAGGACTCCGCCCCCCACCGCAGGAGGCAGCAGCCGTCTCTGGGACCTGTGCAGGCTGGTTCCCTTCCAGAACGGGGCCCCTAGGACTCCCCAGTCTCGCCCCGCGAGAGGCCCTTCCTCGGGAGGGAGGGTGGGCTGTGCCGAGCCGGCCGCCTGGCTCCGTCTGGGGCACAAAGCGCTCAGTGGGGGGGGTCTGGGAACTCAGAACACCAGTGCACTTGGGAGGTGTGGTCAGGAAACGCCATGGGGGAGAGCAAACCAGAGGCCTCCTGGTCTCCACTTGGACGCTGACAATTCTGTTACTAAAACAACTGCTCTCTCCTCCTTTCCAGAGGCCACTTTTTCTTCTTTTAGTTTTCTGAAAACGTTACCCCCCTAGAAACCAGCGTTCCCACTGCTGCCCTGTCTTCTCCCTGAGAAGCTGAGGCCACGGTGTGTGTGTGGACGGCGACACCGAAGGTATCCGGTCTGAGTTGCAAAAGGGAACGTGGAGACCTGAGCAGGGGCAGTGACAGCCATCGGGCGGGTGTGTGGCTGGGGCGTCCCCAACAGGGGGCGTGATGGACTGACGGGAAAGGAACCCCTGCGACCTCCCCCCGACAGAGACACGAGCACACATACTGCGGGATGATCAGAAGGTAGATGAGGCCAAACAAGGCGGCCAGGATGAGGGCGAGCACCACGGCGCTGGTGAAGTCCTCGTCCTGGAGCTGGTGGTACTGCAGACGGAGCCCAGGTCAGCGCCCGGGACACACGCAGGCGCTGCCAGGGGCCCAGAGCCGCCGCCGCGTCCCAGAGGACAGCGCCCGCCCAGTGGACCAGGAGGAGGGCCCCGGGCTCCCGGCCGCGCCTGGGCCCCTCACCCACCTTCCGCTCCCGCTCGGCCTGCTTGTACTTGAGGGTGAAGAAGTCCAGGTCCGCCATCTCCAGATCCGTCTGGCGGGCTTCCAGGAGGCGGCTGATGTACCTGTTCACGCGGGTGCCCGGGGTGGTGTAGACGACGTTGGTCGAGAAAGACAAGCGGTTTCGGAGTTTCTCTGAGGCTGTTCTCAACGCCCTGCGCTGGGGCCGGCAGGGAGGAAAGGGCCACCGTCAAATCCCACGCGCTGAAGAAAGGTGCGCCCACCCCCCTACCCCAACCCACTCCCACCCCCACCCCCACCCCCTCGCACGGCCTCTGACAGCAGCCTCTGCTCCACCACCTGCTGGTGTCCCAGGAGAGTTACTTCTTTTCTTCTTCTTTTTTTAATCCTCACCTGAGGACATTTTTACAGTTTTTGTTCAGACAGAGTGGGAGGGAGAGAGAGGAAGAGAGAGAGGAACATCGATGTGAAAGGGACACATCGAGTGGCTGCCACCTGCATGACCAACCAGGGCCGGGGACAAACTGCAACCAAGGTACATGCCCTTAGCAGGAACTGAACCCGGGTCTCTCTGGACCGCAGGCCGACGCTCCAACCGCTGAGCCAAACCGGCCAGGGCCCTGAGGATATTTTTTCCACTGATTTTTAGAAAGAGGGAAGGAGGGTGGGGGGGAGAGAGAGACATTGATGTGAAAGACACACATCGACTGGCTGCCTCCTGCACAACCCGGACAGGGCCGGGGATCAAACCTGCAACCCCACTTCCAGTCAGGATGGCGGGTAGGTAAACGCGGTATCCGTCCTCCCACAATCACATCAAAGTTACAACTAAACTACAGAACAACCATCATTCAGAACCACCTGACACCAACCTGAATGGAAGTCCTACAACTACAGAATTAAAGCAGCAGCCACATCGAGACTGGTAGGAGGTAGGAGGGCGGAGGGGAGGGACTGGTCCCACATCCACGTGTGGTGGATAAAATCAGGACACCTCGGCTGGGAAGGTCCTCCCTGAGGACTAAGGGGTCCCCGTCCCACACCAGGCGCCCAGCTCAGGGTTCCAGTGCCAGGAAGAGAATCCCCATCACTTCTGGCTGGAAAAACCAGCGGGAACTGAGGCTCAGGGAGTCTGATGTGGCTGGAGCCCAGGCAGCTCCTTAAAGGGCCCGCACATGGACTTATCAGACTCTCTCCCTCTAAGCTTGGAGGGGAGGCAGCTCGAGGGGCGCCAGAGACATACAGGGAAGAACTGAGCTGTTTGGCACTGGAGCGAGGGCTGGAGAGGCAGCTTTCTCTGGGACAAACGTGCTGTCAGAGACCTCTCTTCCTTCGGTGAGCCCGTCCCTGGGGCGGCAGACAGCCCCCATATCTGGGACTCCAGCAACCTGGCTCACACTGGTAGCCCCGCCCTGGTGACTCCCTGAGGCCCCGCCCCACCCAACTTTCAGGTCCACCCAAGCTGTTGCCACTTGCTTAACCAGAGGATTGGCCTGTCTTGGATCCTGCTTCAGGTTTTCCTAAATTCTTTCAAACAAGCAGCATCTGGTCTCAGATAGCCCCATACCTCTCATTAAGTAACACACAGAAACAAACACAGGGAGGAAGCCAAAATGAGGAGAAAAAGAAACAAGTCCCAAATGAAAGAACAGAAAAAATCTCCAGGAAAAGAACTAAGCAAAATGGAGATAAGCAACCTAACAGATGCTGAGTTCAAAATACTGCTTATAAGGATGCTCAGTAAACTTAGTGAGAACCTCAGTGAACTTAGTGAGGGCCTCAAGAGCATAAAAAAGAACCAGTCAGAAATGAAGGAGGCACTAACTGAAATAAAGAATAATTTACGCAGATTCAATAGTAGAGTAGGTAAAGCCAAGAAGCAAACCATCGATTTGGAATATAAGGAAGCAAAAAACACCCAATCAGAACAGCAAAAAGAAAAAGAATCCAAAAAAATGAGGATAGTGTAAGGAGCCTCTGGGACAACTTCAAGTGTACCAACATTCGCATCTTGGGGGTGCCAGAAGGAGGAGAGAGAGAACAAGAAATTGAAAACCAATTTGAAACAATAATGGCAGAAAACTTCCCTAACTTGGTGGAGGAAACAGACATACAAGTCCAGGAAGCACAGAGAGTCCCAAACAAGATGAACCCCAAGAGGCCCACACCAAGACACATCATCATCAAAATGCAAAAGGTTCAAGACAAAGAGAGACTCTTAAAAGCAGCAAGAGAAAAGCAGTTAGTTACCTACAAGGGAGTTCCCATAAGGCTGTCAGCTGATTTCTCAAAAGAAACTTTGCAGGCCAGAAGGGAGTGGCAAGAAATATTCAGAGATGAAAAGCAAGAACCTACAACCAAGGTTACTCTATCCTGCAAAGCTGTCATTTAGAATCGATGGCCATAGAAAGAGTTTCCCAGACAAGGAAAAGCTAAAGGAGTTCATCACCACCAAACCATTATTATATGAAATGATGAAGGGTCTTTTTGAAGAAAAAGATAAAATATATGAACAAACAAAACGGCCATGAATACATATCTATCAACAACTGAATCTACAAACAAAATGAACAGGCAGAACAGAAACATTCTCATAGATACAGAGAACATTTTGTTGGTCACCAGTTGGGAAGGGGGTTGGGGGAATGGGTGAAGAAGGTGAAGGGATTAAGAAGTACAAATTGGTTGCTAGACTGACAAATCTCAAAGGGAAAGGGGTTTGGGGGGTACGAAGAAATAAACCAAAGAACTTATATGCATGACCAATGGACACCGACAACAGTGTGGGAAAAGGGGGGAGGGGGGCAGGAGTGGGGACAAGGGGGTCAATGGGGGGGAAATGAGGAACATCTGAAATACATTCAACAATAAAGATTTTTTAAACAAAGGTAAAAAAAAAAACAAAAAAAACCCGCAACCCAGGTACATGCCTTTGGGAATCGAACCCATGACCTTTCGGTGCACAGGCAGACACTCTAACGACTGAGAACTCCAGCCAGAGCCCAGGAGAGTCGTTTTGTCATTAGTGACGAGGTTTCTGTGTCTGTACCGAGTGCCCTGGGGACAGCACCCAGCACAGAGCGGCGACAACATCAATAAGATCACAAATCTCCAGCAAGTGTGACAAAGAATAAAACACGAACTCAGGAGGGAAACGTGATCTCAGACCCCACAGAGCTCAGGAGGACAACGAGGACGTACGTGACCAGTGCTGCACGTGTACATCTGACAACTTTAAATTTCTGCCTTTATTGATCTGAGAGAGAGAGGAGGTGAGAGGGAGAGAAACTTCGACAGACCCGTGAGCACGTCCTCAAGACACACAAACCACCACAAGTCACCCCACAAGGGACCCCCTGAGTAGCTCTAGGATCACTAAAGAAACTGAATTCATAATCTCAAACTCCTGAAAAAGTGCTCTCCAGGCCCAACGGCAATTCCACCGAACGTGTGCAGGAGAAGGAATCCAATTCCACGCAGTCTCTTCCAGAAAACAGAAGAGGGGGCTCGTCCCCGCCCACTTCATACCATCCACTCGAACCAGGCCGCACAGAGAATTAACACAGAGCCACACGCAGTCCCGAGAAAGCAGTTCCAGGCTACAGCACGTGTCGCCAAAGCCGACGGCCAAAGCCCCTGGAGAGACAGACACGCTCGCGGACGGGACGACCCGACACGGCAGTCCCCATGGCCCCCCGGGTCGCTCTGCATGGGGTGTACCTTCGGTGAAATCCTAGCAGGCCTTGTAGACAAACAAGCTGCTTCTAAGTACCGAGCGAGAAGGAGGAGGACAAGAACAGCTCCCCTTCCTTCAGAGGCCAGTGGGGGACTCGCTCCGCCCCGCTGCGGGACGCGGTGGTCTGGTCAGGAACAGACCGCGTGGTGCTGGGCCAGGCGCAGGCCAGAGGGCCCGGGGTCCACACAAGCATGGCCGGCAGATTTCTGGACAGAAGTACACAAGCCATTCCGCGGAGGAGGGGGCTTTCCACATGGGCGCTGGTGTCCACAAGCCGGAAAATGGAGCGTGACCCAAACCTCACACCTGATAAAAATTTAGCTCAGACGGCCCTGGCCGGTTTGGTTCAGCGGTTAGAGCGTCGTCCTGCGGTCCGGAGAGACCAGGGTTCGGTTCCCGCTAAGGGCACGTACTTCGGTTGCAGTTTGTCCCCGGCCCTGGTCGGTTGTGCGGGTGGCAGCCACTCGATGTGTCCCTTCACGTCGATGTTTCTCTCTCTCTCTCTCCCTTCCTCTCTCTCCCTCCCACTCTATCTGTACAAAAAATGGAAAAATATCCTCGGGTGAGGATAAAAAAAAAAAAAAAATTAGCTCAGACGGGAGCGTAGGTTTAACAGGTGGTTTTAACAGGTGGTCCCCGAGCAGGCGGGTGGCTCAGGTGAGGGGCTGTGGACACCATGTCCTGCTGGTGTGAGGGGAGAGGGGGAAGGGCCTGTATGAGGTGACGCCCAAGACAGGGCGGGGGACAGAGCTAAGGCCCCTCTGCCAGGTCCACACACCTGCCAGGACCCGGCACCCACATGGAGTGATTCTGCCCCTCCCCCACGCCCTCCGGAAATCCGGGGGCGTCGGCCTCCACGCTGTCCTGTCTTCGTTCACAATTTCTGTATGTTTGTTCACTGCTAATTCTTCCAGGTTAAATTTGAGTTTTGAAAATACTGCACTAACTGTTATTGATCACGACTCAGTTTGGAGCACACACTTGGGTTGTCTTCACTCCCCCTCCAGCCCCCTCACCCCGAGTCCCAGCCCTGGGGCTGCGGCGAGTCTGGGGGAGAAGACAGTGGTGGTGTCGGTGTTTCTGCTCCGGCAACGTGGCCAAGGAGACAGCCTGGGAAATGCTCCTGCTACAAACTCCAGGTAAACATGTTGACAGCGCACACCTGAGTGGACCAGTGAGGGGCCCGAAACGCCGAAAGGTGGGGCCCAGATGGGCCTGCAGCCTAACAACCTGTCTGGAGCCCGCCCCAAACCAGGTCCTCAGCAAAGTGGGCTGCGACCGCCCGGCACTGACCCCCAGGCCCCGGGAGGGCCCCACCAGCAAACACTGACCAGGAGGCCCTGCAGGTCTGCCTGCGACCCAGCTGTCACCGAGGGCCCTGGGAACACGCCTGCACACGGGTGTACATGCCTGCACACACATGGACTGCCTGGGACACCCAGAAACCACAAACCAAGCTCCTAGTGTAGAGCCCCCAGGGCTGGGCAGAGGGTCACCACCCTTAGAGCTTTAGGGAATCTCCGAACGCAAACTCAGCCAAAACCACAACAAATCCCCGAGGCAGTAAGCCACCTCCAGTGAGAGTCTGCGGGCGTCTGCTCCTTCCTGAGAAGTCTGTGAACCTCTGGTGAGGAGAGGCCTTTTCAAGGCACAGAACCCCAGAGGCAGAGGAGGAGGCATGAGGGGGAGCGGGCAGACCCGGGACGCAGTGATGGAGGAAGGCAGTGTGTCCCGGGGCATGGGCGTCGGTGCCACACGGGGGCTGGAGGGCAAGGACAGGAGACAAGGGGGGACACGCAAAGCTGCTCTCCGAGTGGTGGTGGCCAGACCTCGCTCCGGCTGCCGGGACGCGGCCCTCCTGCTAGAGGACGGGCTTCCCTGGAGGGAACCGGGGTCTCTGGCCAGGGTCACAGACACAAGGCAGGTGTGGTTAGAGTGGATGCTCAGGACCCCAGGTGCCCCAACTTAATGCCAGGCCCTCCCCCAGGACCCGGCCCCAACCCCAGCAGAGATCAGAAGGTCCAAAGGCGACTCTGACCCACGAAAATCCTGCAGCCAGGCCACCACGAGGGACGCTCGTCAGTGCCGGAGCTGGGTTCCACCAACCAGAGGAGCTCAGCCAAGGAGGCGCCTGCCTAGCACCAGACAGGAGCCCACACGGGAGGGCAGCCCTGGTGACCGACAGAGGCTCCAGGGCGGGACAGGAGGCCTGAGGCTGCAGATGGAGCGACAGGCACCTGACACTGGAACATCTGAGGGCAGGTTCGGACAGCAGCAGGGAGCCAGGCTGCAGAAAAGAACCACGGACACCAAGACCTCTGCAGGGGAGCAGAGAGGCCGGAGGGAGCGGCGGTGCACCTGGAGGCCAGGCTCAGCGGGCCTACCTTGTCGCCGCCCTCGCACGCCACGGCGTCAGAGAAGGGGATCTCGGCCTTGAACATCTTGCGGCACTGCATGAGCTGCACCAGCAGGTAGCACACCGTCTTGAACTTCATCCTTTTCGCCGGCTTTATGTCCGAGAGGATCAGCCCGGGGAAGATCTGTGTGGACACGCGGCGGAGAAAGGGCCTGAGCGGCTGCAGCCTGATTCTTGGCCCCCGAGAGGCTGTCCCAGGTCCCAGGACGAGGCATCTGCTCGGGGCCTGCTGTGCACCAGGCCTCGGGGACACGCGGGGACCACCCACCTCCTCTGAACCCAGAGCACCGGCCGGGGTCCTGGGCCGAGCAGAGTTGGGGCCCAGGTCTGGGTCAGCACGTGGCTGGTGAATGTCACCACGGCCCCGGGACCCTCCCACCTGTGCCGTCAAAGGCTCCTAGAAAGGCACTCCGACCTCAGCTCCTAAACCCCGAGACACCCCTTCTGCCTGTCTCCTTTTCTCTCTCCTTCACACCCTGAACTCCTCTGAAGGAGACAGCTCCTTACACTGGCTGCACCCTGCCCACTCACAGCACCGCCACACCCAACGCTGGTCCTGGAGCCTGCCGGGGGGTGGGGGGGCACCATGCAGGGCACCTGGGCTCCATCACCCACTCAGCACTTCCTCACGGTCCTCCCTGCTCAGCCCCACGTCCCTCACCTGAGCCCTGGGGCTGACTTGTAACCTCCATACTATCCACGTCACCTCCTCTGGGCAAGCTGCCACGCCTGGTCACATCCCTGCTGAGTGCACAGCCCCCCGTGCACAGACCCCCAGGCCCAAGCCCCACAGAGGGTGCTCTGACCTGTTTGTACAGAGGCAGTGAAGGCCCAGGGAGGGGGCAGGACGGCCCTGCCACTGAGGATACAGGGCTCAGAGATGACTCAGAGTGCTGCCACGTGTGCACACACACAGACACACACAGACACACACACAGAGACACACAGACACACATGCACACACGTGCACACACACATTCGCACACATGGACACACATGTGTGCGCACACGCACATGAACACAGACACGTGCAGACATACACACAGACACGTGCACACGCGCATGGACACGTGTATATACAAACACACATGTACGCACGCATGCACACAGACACACGTAAGTGCCCGTGCACGCGCACACACACGCACACAGACACGTGTATACACACGCACACATGCACACACGTGCACGCACACCACGCACGCCAAGGCCAGGCCCGGGGCAGGATGGGGTGGGGACGCCCGTGTGTGGGAGCAGCAGCCTGGAGAAGCACCGCAGGCCCGGGCGGGGTTCCAGGCCCACCTTCCGCCGGTGCGAGGGCACAATGAAGAAGGTTTCGATGTTGTGGGCTCTCAGGAAGCTGTGCCGCTCCTGCCCGTGGCCGGGCTCCACCTCGTAGTCGCCGTTCAGGCACGCCAGCGTCGTCTTGGTGATGTGGACCTTCCTGCAGGCGGGAGATGTGGGGCCGAGCGTGATGCCCGCAGCGCGGTCACGGTGGCTTCCCAGGCCCCGGCACCTCTGTCTGCGTGAGGCCAAGGTCCTGCAGGAGGGGCCTGGGCATCGCAGGCTCCACGCGGAGCACTGGGGCAGGGAGGGGGCTGGGGGAGGGCAGCGGGGGGAGTAGGTCCAGGGTGAGAGGAACCGAAGGGGAGAGGGGAAGCGAGCGCCCGGCCGCGGCAGGGAAGGTGGGGAAGGGGTGGCAGCGAGGCCACAAGACACGAGTCTGTCCCCGTCTGTCCCCGAGACCCCAGGGCAGGAGGCCCCGGCCGGGCACTGGGCGACGGGCAGGCAGCGAGAGGCAGGGCAGAGGTTCTCCCCCCGTGCCCGCGCAAGCAGACACGGTGTGCAGGTGTCTTGTTCACTGCCACCCTGGACCCCACAGCCAGTCTTTGCAGCCGCCTCAGGCACGTCCCGGCCACCCTCCAACAGAGGGAAGCGGATGGAGCCTCGCGACACCCACTAGGCCCCCCCTGTGCCAGGAGAGCACCCTCCCATCCTGCTCGGGGGTGACTGTTGTGGAACATCAAGCTTTGGCTTTGTGGACAGTTTGAAGAACATGAAGCCAGAGCAAGTGACTGTAATTAGCGAGCTTGTGAAGTGAGGGAGCTGGGAGACACAGTCCCGGGGGGCCTGTACCCCCAGCTCCAACCCCAGCACCTCCCTCAGGGAGGGAGAGCAGCGGAGAACCGCGGTCAGCACCCAGGACAGCGCCCAGCCTCCTGCGTCCTGCCTCCAGCTCTCGGGCTCCCCCTGGGTCCCCTGCCCACTTTGAGGCCCCCCAGAGCCTGCCCAGTGCTGGCCCCTCCCACACTGGGGGGGGGGCAGGCCCACAGCACCCTCCCTCAGCACCCTGACATACCCAGGCAGGCCCGCGGTCTCCATGACGTTGGCCAGGGTCACGTCGTTGGACCACACGTCATACTGCCACTTGCGCAGGCCCAGGACGCCGCAGAGGACGCGGCCAGTGTGCAGCCCCACACGCATGTTCAGGTCCACCTCGGTGGCCTCAGCCACAGACCTGCAACACAGACACGGGGGGCTGTGGCCCCGTCCTCTGCTCCCTCGAGGCCATGAGCACAGGGTCAGGCCTTGTGTGTTCCTGCTGCGGGTCCGTGTGTGGGGCCTGGACAGGCAGGAGCACAGAGCCCCTGACCCATCAGCCCCCGGCCGGTCCCCTGCCCCCGGCCACTAGCCACGCCACACAGTGTCACACCTGCCTGCCCCGCGCAGCCCAGGAGAGACAGGACCCTGCTCTGTGTCCTGCAACCTAGTCGGGCCCTCGTGCTGTTTGCTGGCTAAGGTTAGCGTGACAACTGTGGGACCACTGACAGTGCCCACGGCCCCGGAGCCCAGGCACCGTCAGGGTTTGACCCCAACCTCCCTGACTCCGGGTGGGGGCTGCAGGACAACCTGCAGGGAGGCCCGAGGCCCGGCACAGCATCAGAGGGCTCCCGGGCACCTGCAGGGACCGGCTCTCCCCCAGAATAACTTCCTCATCCATAGCAGTCAGGTCAGCAGGACAGAAACGGGAGGGAGGGACCAGGCAGCACCGGGAAGGCCCAGCACCTGGGAGAGCAGCCGGCGTCACAGCCGGGCCTCCGCCCAGGCCTTCCCTCACCACACAGAGGCCCTGGACTCTGCGTCCCCACCACTGACAAGGACCGGACCTGGCAACGCTGGCCGGGAAACGGCAGGTCAGCCAGTGTTCCAGGAACACGCTCCACAGACAGCGCTGCCCTGGGACCTGCCCCAGGAAGACGAGCACACGCGGTTCCCGGTCAAGAACTTGGCTGGTTTGAGCCAACTTGCCCTAGTGACCCCCTGACCACGTCACCCAGCCGCGCCTGACGGTCACTTCTTCCTGCGTAGCTAATGCGTACCTGGGATCACCACACGGAAATGCAGTCCCTACAAAGTGCGAAGGGGGGTCACGGAGACTCCGCAGACCGGGGGGACTTCCTCCTCCAGCCCCTCCCCTGCGGGCTGGCTCTCTGCGGCCCAGTGACCCACCTGGACCGACTGGCCAGGACAGCCCAGGCCCGCGGGGGCTCCCGGGGAAAACGGGGAGAGCATCCCGGCTGACGCCGCCGGGCCCCAGAGACACTCACGTGATGGTGTCGATCATGTCCAGGCCCATCTCCACGCAGCAGTGGGCGTGGTCGGCCTTGGGCTGGGTGAGGCCGGACACGCAGTAGTAGCAGTCCCCGAGGATCTTGATGCGCCGGCAGTGGTTCTCCTTCAGGCAAGCGGCAGGTCAGTGATGCTCTGGGCCGGCACTGCTCCTTCCACACCACTAGGTGCTGTGACCACGGCCACGGGGCGCAGCTCACACCGGGGCCCGGCCCCCACCCAGGATCCCCACGGACAGGGCGGCCGCCAAGGGCGGGCAGCCCCCCTGGCTGGGATCAGGGTTGCCCTGGATCACCCACACTTCCCCCACACCTGCACTCAGGCCTCCTCCAGGCAGGGGTCCAGCTGCTCGGCCCTCAGCCCACTGGCCAACCCCGCAGACCCTGCCCCAGGCCTCCCGCTCCTGTCCCACCTCCAAACTGCCCAGTGACACCGTCCCAGGCCTCCTGCATCCCGTCCGGTGGGCAACAGCCCCTGAAGGGCGGGGTTATGCCCAGAGCCAAGAACAGGTTCCCACTGCCTGTCACCCTGAGGAGCAGAGCTGGGACCAGGCCAGGTGGCCCCCTGACAGCCAGGCCGGGGCCCAGGCTCGTCCGCACGGCCCACACACGCAGAACTCTCCAAGCTGTTCCACCAGCTCCTGGAACCAGCCAAAGAGACATGGGCAGCGTCCAGCTCATTCACTTTCCCGCTAAGAAAACTGACAGCCAGTCGGGCCCATCCCCCGAACGACAGTGGAGCAAGGCAGAGCCCCAGACAGGGGTCGCCCCAACAATTCAAAGGGAAGGGACCAGCTTCCCAGATACACGTGGACGTCAGAGCAAACGAGATCTAACACGGAGCCGATAAATGGGGGAAAGGTCAGAAATGTGTGCACGTCCGCAGCCTCCGGCCATGGGTGAGGAACAAACAAACCGCCAGCCACTCTGGAGACCAAGGCAAACACCGCGTGTGTCCAGCCGCCGCGGCCGCTGTGCAGAGTGGTGTTTGCCCACAGCTGTGTGTACTTTTCCAGGCCTGCACGCATGACGGCCCCCATCCTGCGCACCCCACAGGCACTGACCGCCCAAGGGGAGCCGTCCCATGCGCCTCACGCAGGACTTGAGTAAAGGTGTGTTTTAAGAACATACACCACTGTCCATGCACAGAGCCAAGGAAAAGCCGTCGGTGAGGGAATGCGTCCTCAGGGTGGGGCTTCCTCAGCAAGTGGGGAAGACCTGATCCGAGCTTGCAGGGGGCCCTCCAGTGTCTGCCTGGAAGCCACGCGGACAGGGGCACAGCAGGAGGGGAGACGGGGGAGCTCAGGGAACAGCCGCAGAAACTGTCCAAATGAAACAAAAATGAAAGGAAACCAACAAGCCCGAAGTACCATCTGAGCTGCAGGCACCTGGTGTCCCTAAAGGAACAGGGAGGCATAAGAATACTCGAAAAGTGGTGGTAGAGTTTTTCCCAAACACGATGACACTGTCAACCCACAGACGCGAGGAACTCACAAGAGCGTGAGGGAAACCAGACGAGGCGCAGCCAGGCCAAGGGCCAGGCAGAGACCACCCGAGCCACAGACGGAGGAAGAGGACGGGTCGTGCAGAGGCGCAGACTTCTCCTTTTTTTTTTTTTTATCCTCACCCGAGGACATTTCTCCATTTTTTGTACAGATAGAGTGGGAGGTTAGAGAGAGCAAGAGAGAGAGAGGGAAACATCGATGTGAAAGGGACACATCGAGTGGCTGCCACCCGCACGACCAACCAGGGCCGGGGACAAACTGCAACCGAGGTACATGCCCTTAGCGGGAACCGAACCCGGGTCTCTCCGGACCGCAGGCGGACGCTCCAACCGCTGAGCCAAACTGGCCAGGGCGGAGCAGACGTCTCGAAAACCACGAGAGACGACCACACAGCAAGGCCTTTGAAGTTCCGGGGAAAATCTGCCCCCCAACATTCTATTCCCAGCAAAGAAACATTCCAGAAAACGAAGGACAAATAAGGAGTTTTCCCCAAACACGAAGCATTCGTCAGCTGCAGGCCCACACCACAGAAACAGAGGTTTGAGCTGTGTAGGCAGAGGACAGCGTGGAAATGCGCCACGTGTGTGCAGCGGAGTGAATGAGCGTGGATGTGGAGGCCACACAGCAAACATGGAGATACTTTGTTACTTATGGTTCTTGCGACAGAGCTGGCTGTATAAATAAACACAGTAGCAGAACAGAGCGTGTAGTACAAGCAAAAGCAAATGTAACAGTTTCATAAAGGCAGAGAAGAGGGAAACAGAGTCCCGTCAGGTGAGTGGACACCGGGAGTCTCGTGCGCACATGGCAAACCCCACAATGGAGCCTGTCGCACGTGACGTGTGGAAGCCAGACCCCAGGGAAACCACTAAAATAACAAGAGTCATAAATAAGCCAACAAAGGTGGCCGAAGGGAGCCGTGCACCTGCTCAGCGAATCTACAAAAAGGCAGGGAAAAGGGGGACGAGAAGCAATGGGATGAACAGGAGCAGATGGAAGCCAACAGGCTGAGCTGAGCCATGTGGACCACATGGGTGTCCGTCCAGACAAGGCAGAGGGTGTCCGATTAGACCAAATGCAAAACCTGACACTTTAAATAAACACTTGGCATTAAGACACAAACAGGTAAAAGACAAAGGGATGGAACAAGGTGTCTTCCAACCATCACAGGGACGTTGGGATGGCTGGATAGGCGTGGGGCGGAACAGACGACAGCACAGACTAACACCAAGACAAAGAGGGCAATTTGTTCATGAAAAAGAGTTAGTTCAGCCCTGGCGAGTGTTGCTCAGCGGTTAGAGCATTGGCCCGCGGACCGAAGGGTCTCAGGTTTGACTCCTGGTCAAGGGCACATACCTAGGTTGCAGGTTCGATCCTCAGCTCTGATTGGGGTCGTGTGGGAGGCGGCCAATCAATGTTTCTCTCTCTCTTTCTCTCTTTCCCTTCCTGCCTCCCACTCTATCTAAAACAAAAAAAAATAATCAACAGAAAAGTATCCTCAGATGAGGATTAACAAAAAATCAATAATAATAATAATAATACAAGTTGGACAGGAATTTATTAAAATAGAACGGAGAAATCAATGTAACCAAAAGCAACTTCTTTAAGAAAATCAATACATCAGTAGATGAATGGATTAAAAGGCTGTGGTACATGTACACAATGGAATACTATGCAGCTGTAAGAAGGAAAGATCTCTTATCCTTTGAGATGGCATGGAAGGACCTGGAGAGTATTATCCTAAGGGAAACAAGCCAAGCAGAGAAAAACAAACATCACATGATCTCACTTATTTGTGGAATATAATGAACTAAACAAACTGCTGAACAAAATTAACCCAGAGACATACAGGTGGGGTGCAGGCTGATAAGTCTCAGAGGAGGGGGGGTTGGGGGGGACAGATAAACCACAGAACTTACATGCATGTACGCATGACCAATGAACATAGACAACAAAGCTGGGGATGGGGCAGGGGGGAGGGGGAGGAGGGTGTCAATGGGGGGAAAATGAGAAACATCTGTAACAAAAACTAATAAATAAATTTTTGAAAAGACAGAAATAAGCCCTGGCCAGTTTGGCTCAGCGGTTAGAGCGTCCACCTGCGGTCTGGAGAGACCCGGGTTCGGTTCCTGCTAAGGGCATGTACCTCAGTTGCAGTTTGTCCCCGGCCCTGGTTGGTCGTGCGGGTGGCAGCCACTCGATGTGTCCCTTTCACGTCGATGTTTCTCTCTCTCTCTTCCTCTCTCCCTCCCACTCTATTTGTGCAAAAAATGGAAAAATGTCCTTGGGTGAGGATTAAAAAAAAAAAAAAAAAAGACAGAAAGAAAATGAATACAATGGACAACCTTTACCCAGAATGATCAGGAAAAGATGGAAGACACAAGCGACCACAGTCAGGAACGGTAGGGACGACACCACATAGACGCTACAGATCTCAGGGCCACAAGAAATGCAATGAACAGCTTTATCCTGGTGACTTTGACGGCTTAGATTAAAGGGACAGATGGAAAATAAGAAGAACCACCCGAAGCTCATTCAAGAAAGAAGAAAAACAGACAACCTGACTAGCCCTGTCTAAAGAGATTGGATTTGCAGTTTAAAAACTTCCGCAAATGGAACCCCTTGCCCAGGGGGCCACCGCCAAGCTCGCCGCACGCTGGGGCCCGCAGCGGCCCTGCCCCCACTCCCCGGAAAGCGGCAGGAAGAGCTGCCCCAGGCCTTCTGTGGGCATGAATGACCCTGACATCATGCTGGCAACACGAGGAAGCCGCAGAACCTCCTTCAGGAACATAAATGGAAAGATTCTAAATAAAGTTTTAGCAAATCAAAGCCAACAATACATCAAAATGATAACACAATACGCCCACGTCAGGCTGTCCCAGAAACGCAAGGTCGTGCTAACATCCGTCAGACGTGGGAGCGACCCATCGGATCAGCAGACTGAGAGGGGGAACCGCGGGGTCGGCCCGAGAGGCGCAGCCAAACCCTGGACACGAGCCAACATCCGGCTCTGAGAAGCTGCAGAGCCAGAAGGAAAAGCAACGGCCTCAACGCGGAACAAGCAGCCAAAGCACCACAGCGCTAACGTCATGCCTGGCAAAGGCACCTCCCCTCGAAGGTCGGAACAGACGAGGACGCTCGGGAGGGCCCGTGACAGCCAGTGACCTCCAGGCGGGGGTCCCCGCGGCCTCACTGCACTGGGGGTGCACCCCCTGCCCCAGGAAGCCAGTCGGTGAGCAGGGAACTGGCACTGGGTGACTGGGCTCCCCACTTCTGTCCATCTAGGCCACAGCCCCTGGGGACCCCAGACCCAGCTCCAGCGGCGTCGGCACACGGCCGTGCTTACCGTGGCCAGCTCGTCGAACTTGCCGAACAGCTCGTTGAGCAGCTTGACCAGCTCCTGGGCCGTGCACTGTGACGCCAGGCCCGTGAAGCCCACGATGTCCGCAAAGAGGATGCTGCAAGACACAGGGTGCCTGCCTGTCCACCCGGCACGACCCTGCCCTGCTCACAGTTTCCCTCCAGGTCACCCCGAAGCAATTCTCCCACTTACTCCTCAACCCAGGCTGGGAGCCAAAGCTCTGTTCTTCCCATGTTACAGGTAAGAAGACTGAGGTCAGCAGGTGGCCACAGAGGGAGATGCTGCAGCCACTCAGAGCCCCTGATGACCCTGGTGCAGCCTCAGCCCCACCACTCGTTGGTCAGGGACCCCTGCACACTCACCTCACTCACCAAACCTCAAAGTTGAGGACCACAGGGGTGTAATGACATTAAATGGAACCAAGCGTCCAGAGGAGAGGTTCGTCCTGCATGGGCTTGAAGGCTGCCCCGCACCATGGGCCCTCGCCCTCCCGGTCTCCAGGAGGACAACGCTGGTCCTCACTGAGGGGCATGGCAGTGGGACTGAGCACCCGCATGTAAGGAGCCCAGCCAGGTGGCGGTGAGCCACGCAGGCCGCACACAGGAGCCGCTCGAGGGACCAGTCTGCAGCACTGGACAGAAATACACGAGGTGTCCTGATCTGTGTGCACCTCGGGCCCAGTGAGCAGGGGGCACCACACCAGCAGCAAAGAACCACCACCTCCTGCCTGGGCGACAGGCAGAGCTACCCCAGACAGGCACACTCCGCTTGCTCTTTCAAAGGAAACACACCACTTAGAATAAAGTACTTTATAACATACTTTAAAAACAAACAAGCAAACATGAGCTTGTCCGGGGCGAGCTGGCTCACTCAGAGGTGCTCCTTGCTGTAACAGGGGGACAGTAAGCCCACCCACAGCTGTCACGAGACAGACAGACACAGGAAGAGGACACCTGCCCCAGACCTGGCACCCACGGCGACAGGGCTCAGCTGTGAGCCTTACACAGGACATTCCCAGCCCAAGGCCACGCCCAAACCTTAGGGACAGAGTTCAACCTCTGGGCAACACAGGAGAGAGATGCTAAGTAACAGGACAGGCAGTGGAGACAGGTGTCACCTGAGAAGCCACCACTGCACCACTGTGGGACCCTGCTTCCCTGCCAGGCAGGCTGACCCACACCTGCGCCCTCCTCCCGCAAACTGGGGACATCGGCCCACTTCAACCATCACTTCTCAGCCACCTCCATCACCCCTCCGTCACCTTCACCCCCTCCGTCACCCTCATTTCCTCCGTCACCTTCACCCCCTCCGTCACCTTCACTTCCTCCGTCACCTTCACCCCCTCCGTCACCTTCACCTCCTCCGTCACCTTCACCCCCTCCGTCACCTTCACCCCCTCCGTCACCCCCACCCCCTCCGTCACCCTCACCCCCTCCGTCACCTTCACCCCCTCCGTCACCTTCACCCCCTCCGTCACCCTCACCCCCTCCGTCACCCCCACCCCCTCCGTCACCCTCACCCCCTCCGTCACCTTCACTTCCTCCGTCACTTTCACCCCCTCCGTCACCTTCACCCCCTCCGTCACCTTCACCCCCTCCGTCACCTTCACTTCCTCCGTCACCTTCACCCCCTCCATCACCTTCACCCCCTCCGTCACCTTCATTTCCTCCTTCACCTTCACCCCCTCCGTCACCCCCACCCCCTCCGTCACCCCCACCCCCTCCGTCACCTTCACCCCCTCCGTCACCCCCACCCCCTCCGTCACCTTCACCCCCTCCGTCACCTTCACCCCCTCTGTCACCTTCATTTCCTCCTTCACCTTCACCCCCTCTGTCACCTTCATCCCCTCTGTCACCTTCACTCCCTCCGTCACCTTCATTTCCTCCGTCACCTTCACCCCCTCCGTCACCTTCACCCCCTCCGTCACCTTCACCCCCTCCGTCACCTTCACCCCTGCCATCACCTCCACTTCAGCTCCCAGGCTGTTGGCAGCTGGCCAGTGCACCCTACCTCACATTGTCATGCCGCTGGATGTAAATCTTGTGGAAAATCCTCTCAGGGGGCTTCAGAAAGTCCTCTTTCATCTCCATGGCGACATTCCGGGGCAAAAGACTCATGAGCAGCCGCTCCTGGATGGGAGAGACAGCGGTGTGCTCCACGGGGCCCTCCTGCCCATCCTTCAGGCACCCACCCAGGAGGAGGGGCTGCAGACCCTCCTCACTCAAGGCCCACAGCAGACCAGTCCCGCAGCCCCTGCCCAGCCCCAGGGCTGCGGTGGGTAGTGCCCAGGCCTGGACAGCCACTGCGCAGGTACCTCCATCCCGGAACACCCCTCCATCAGTGTTCCTGAACTTCCAGCCACTCACAGCGCCCCCACCTGTCCCGTGCAGCCCACCGTGGGCCCCGGCTTCTCCAGGCGGCGGTCACAGGAAGGAACCCAGGTCCTCCAGCCCCGCTGCCCACCCTGCGCGGGCCGTCGAGTCGGGCTAGGAGAGGTCCCGCCCCTGGGACAGACAGGGCCCTGTTCCTGCTGCGTAAGAGGCTTGGACCCAACATGGCATCTTCTTTTGCCCTCAGCTGACTCTCCCTGGTCTCTGGGAGCCAGGTATTCTCCCCGCCAGGGGACAGGATGAATGTCTGGGCTTTTCCAGAGAAGCACTGCCCTGAGGACTCTGCCACCCTCCTGGGCCCCAACTTCCTCTGCCCCCCGCCCGGGGTCCTACCTGACCTCGCCCTGCTGGCCCTGACTGTCTAGCCACCGGGGCCTGAGGCCCACTACTCCCTCAGTCTCTCACACCTCCTCCCACCTGCTTTGGGAAGAAAACCAAAGAAGAGAGTTCGATGCCACGTGGAATGAATGGGCCATCCTTCTGAGGAAGGTGGACCTGGGGTGGGGGTGCAGAAGAACAACCCCCTCCTCACTTTGCCCCTCCAGCAGCCCCATGGAAATTACCAACCTCTAGAAAAAACAAGAGAGAGACGCCCAACGCTTGAACCCGGGACGCAATGGCACGTCACGGCTGGCCCCGCAGACATCACAAGACGAAGGGGACTAGAAACAACCCGCCACACAGAAATCTGACATTTTCAAAAAACACCAATATCTCAAAAAGCACAAATTACGACAACTCACCAAATGTGAAATAAATACAATGAATAAAATACTTGACTAGTTCCATATCTATTAGAGAAACTGCATTCTTAATTTTAAAATCGGTAAGAAAAATGTCCAGAGCCCGACGGTTTTACTGGAAGGGTATGCCAAGCGCCAAAGAAGACAGAATTAACACTAACTGTACACTGAAGCTTCCGCAGAAGACAAAGGAACACATCCCAATTCATTTTACAAAGTTAATATTATCTGACACCAAAATCATACAAAGAGAGGAAACTCCAGACCAATGTCTCTGAAGAACACAGATATAAAAACCTTTAACACAATGATTAGCACCTCAGCAATACATAAAAACCTGACTCGGGGGTGTGGGGTCAGGGGTGCAAAGCCAGTTCAATGCTGAAGTATCACTCCATGTTGTACACCATGTCAACAGGACAAAATAAAAATCACACGGTAATCGATACAGAAAAAACATTGGCAAAATTCCACATCCATTCATGATGAAAAGTCTCGGGAAATTAGGAAGAAGGGGAGCTTCCTCGTCTGGATAAGGAGCATCCAGAAAGAGCCCCGGTTCACGTCACACTCGGGGTGGCGCTGGCCCCTTCCACACCCCGTGTGCACGGCCTGGAAGGTCCGGTCGGTGCAGGAGAGCGAAGGAAATGAAAACCACAGTGACATGTCCCAACACACCCGTCAGAACTGCTGCCACAGAAGACAGCGATGCCGCCACATGCTGGCGAGATGGCAGACACACGGGATCTGCCGGGAAGGGAAATGGCAGGAAGCCGGTTTCACGATTTCTCCACAAACGCAGCCCCCACGCGCCCCCGCCGCGCACGCCAGGAGGTAAGACTTGTGTTCACGCAAAAGCTGCTCCCAAATGTTCGAATGTTCGTGGTGACTTCGCTCGTAAGGACCCCAGGCTGGGGCCCCATGAGGTGCCCTTCAGCGGGCGAGGGGACGAGCCGACGGTAGCCCAGCCCGACAAATGCAACCCCACGAATCTGCGTCCTGTGTGGTTCCGCCCCCAGGAAACGGCACCGATTCCCCTGGTGTTGTGTTCGGCGGGTCTGCAGAACCTCTGGGCTCGGGGTTTCCTCTCCCAGGAGCGAGTCACTGGGTCGGTTTCTCCCCAGAGTTCTTTTTCTCCTAGAACTGGTTGGGGTAACTGACACCATTCTGGGAATCGGTCCACGTTCTCCAAGCTTTCGGATGCTCTGGCACCAGGCCCTCTGAGTTTCTCCCTACTGTCTATTTTTAACCCGCCGTTACCTGTGGCTGCGAATTCCCGCCCCTGAGACTCGTTTCGCCCCATGTGGGCTCCAGGGCCTTTCTCGCTCAGAGAGCCAGTTCCGACACCCTGCTCAGAAACGGCGAGAGGCCGACAGACCTCCACAGCGTCTGGGCCATTTCGTGGTGGTGTCTTCGACCCGAACCCCCGTGTGAGCCTTGTCAGGGTGGGAGTCCTGAGACTTCGGGATCTGGGCTCCCCCCCCCCCCCCACCCCCGCCACTGGCCACTTTCCTTCCCAAGTCCACAAAATTCTCCTCCCAGCCCCCGTTCTCAGACTACAAAACAGAACCAAGTTCCTTTATGTTCAACTACGAAGCCGAGGCCTGGATTCGCTTAAGGAACCCAGAAGCCAGGCCGAGGCCGCCGTCCCTGCTCTGCCAGTACCCTGCCCGGCGGTGGGGCAGCGGGAAGACGGTCACCTCAGCGTCCCATGGCCTTCTCGCAGGAGCGGCCTCGGGACCCCTCAGCATGGGGCAGAGAGCCTTCCAGAGGTCAGTGTCCACTGTGCAGACCGGCCCCGCCCGCCCTCCCCCGCCCTCTGCCTGTGGACGGCCCTGAGACGCACGGACAGTCATTCTAGAACGTCCACCGCGGACACAGCGCAGGAGGCCTCGCTCTTCGAGATTCGGGGTGGCCACGCCTGTCTGCGTCCGTGGGAGCAGGGCCGGAGACCCACCAAACTCAGATTTTGCAGCAAAGAAGTCAAACTTTGTTTTGAAATGACCTCTCTCGGAAACAGCCTGGCGAGGTGACCTCAACAGCAGGCTCTCAGTTCTAAGCCATAAAGGAGGGTGTTCCTGGTGCCACAGCAAGTGCCACCTTCCTCCCGGGGTTCCCTAACTCGGCCACGACAGCCCAGACACGCGGGGATGATCCCAGCCACGGACACTGAATCCCATCCCCACGCGAAACAGCCGGCAGCTGGGACCGACTCGGGGTGTCTGTGTTTCAGGGCAGGTCCTTTGTCCCCCCCCCCGACCCTGGGGGCCAGTGGTGGCCACACAGGTGCAGACCTGTCCTGCGAAACCACCTTGGCACCACCAGGAGATACCGAGAGAGGAAATAACTCGCCAGCCTCACCTGATGCTCCCGCCGACCCCCCGCAGGTCCTCACCTCTGCTGCCCCACAGCCTGCGCCTGACACCCCCCACCCCGTGCAAAGCCCTGACTCACTCTCAACGTCTCCCTCCCCTTGCACCTCCTTGCACAGAGGCCATGCGCCCCCTAGGCACCCCTGCTCCTGCTCCACCCAGCAGGGACCCTGCTCCCAGCCCCTCGGCCGGTCCAGCCCCTCCTGCTGCCAGCAGAAGCCGACGGGGTGCTCTTACCCACACAGCGACCATCCCGGAGTGGGGCCCCAGAACCCCTCTCAGGCTGGGGTGCATTCCTCAACACTCCCTCCCAGAACTGGGCATGTCCCCAGCACCCCTCCCAGAACGGGGTGCATCTCACTGGCTCAGGGCCTGGAGAAGACTCCAGCAGAGCTGCTGAGTTGAACTGCTCTGTTACTGAGCTGAAACATGAAAACAGAGACCATGACAACCCCGTGCGGCCGGGGCACCCCTCACCTGTAACTCGGGGAGGTTTTCACACCTCCAGGCAGCTCCGGGACAGCCAGGCAGTCCCTGGGGAGCCTGGGCCTGTGCCTGAGCCCGAGAGGTGGCCCAGCCCAGTCCGAGCCTGTGTTCCCCTCCGCCATCCCAGAAAGACAGAGCTTCCTGGGCCGTTGAGGCAGGGAGTGGACCTGAGTGTCAGTGACAAGGGACAGGCCGCCTGGGGAGACAGCTGCCCTGTGACTGCCCTGCGGGCCTGCACCTCCATCAACAGAGACGGCCCAGCCGGTCCGGCGCTGACTGGCCAGAGAACTCGTGGGAAATGACCAACCCACGCTCCCTGTCTCGTTCCCCAACGGCTCCTCCGTGAAGCCACAGAGGAGAGGACAATGACCCACACATCCGAAAACGTGAGAGACTGCGCTTCCCCCCAGAGAAGTGGAGCTAGAGGGACGGAGGGACCGAGGGACGAGGGACGGAGGACGGCCACACCCACCTGCTTCTCGTTCTCGTCCTCCAGCCTCAGTCGGTCCTCGATGCAGGTGCGCGCCTGCAGGAACGCCCTCCTCTGGGCGCGCTCGGCCAGGAGCCTCACGAACACCCCGTACATGTTCACGCCCACGAACAGCAGGGCGTTGGCACCAAGCTGGAAGGGAGAGACACGGCCGGTGGGCAGGCGCTCCCGAGTCCCTCCGACAAGCAGCCCGAAAGGGCCACAGCGGGGCCTCTGCTGGTCCGCGATGGCTGTTCCCCACCTGTGTCCCCGGCACTGCAGGGCTCCTGCTCCTGGACTAACCAGAAATACTGCCACACGGACTGGCTGCCCCTCAGGATGACACGCACAGGCCCCGAGACCGCAGGCCAGAGACCCAGTGGGAGGGCGGGAGCCTGAGTAGGATGAGCTGCAGGACACGGAGGGGAGACAGGTCCACCCGCGCACGGACCGGAGTGGGGTGGGGACCAGGGTGGAGACAGCGGTGTGCGGTCTGCAGCCTTCGGATGACTGCGACGGGCTCCTGCCCTCCAGGGGACGGACGGACACAGCTGCGTTGGCAGTGACTTCCGTCTGGAGAGGTCAGAGCTGTTCGCAGGGGACCGGAGACAGACCAAGGGATGTGAGTCTATGACCCCAGCACTCAACGGACGTCTCCGAAAACAAAAGGGTGAACTCGCGTAAACAGTATGGACGGAGCGGCTTCCAAGCCCACCGTGCACCTCCACTCGGACGCTGAGACCAGGCAAAGGGGCTCTGCCCTGGGCGGAGAGCAACAGTGTTTCCTCAAGTGCTGTTCGCGAGAGTAACGAGAGAGATGACAACTACCGTCTGGAAATTAGAGACACTGTTTAGAACCAGGTCCCTGTCCTGTTATCTGCACCAACAGCAACGCCTTCCTGCTGTGGATGTTACCGCTGCCGTCCCTCCTCATAGCTACATCGCCTCTGTCTCCTAATCAGAACATCGTGTGGGCTTCCGGCCGAATCAGTGCTTCCCAAATCGCTCTGCTTGTGGACACAACGAAACGCTTGCTGCCTCTCACTCTGAAAGGCCTGCCCCTTGGGGGTCGCAGTCAGCAGGCTGGGCAGAGCCCGTGCAGTCTCACCCACACCTGCCAGGGTGGGCGCACACTGCACATCTCAGACTGACCGAGGGCCGCGCCCCCTGGAGACCACCACACGAGGACCCTCGGCCAGCCAGAGAGAGAGCTGCCCCTGGGACAGGCACACGGGACAGGTCCTCTAAAAACAGTGCCCACTCTGACCCTGAACACCCCCACGTGACCTGACCATCTCCACGTGGCCCTGGTCATCGCTCTCTGACCCTAGTCCTCTCCACGGTGACCTTGGACATCTCTAGTCCCTTTAAACCTGGGCATGTCTCCCAGCTGGACGCTGCACGTGCGAAGCAGGTGCATGCAGGCTGGCTCCGGTGGTGTGGTGCCAGCTTCTCACCAGGCCGGGCGGCTTCGCCTGGGGACCGTGCTGGGTCCTGGTGGTCAGGCCATCTGCTGCGCTGGGGCCTGAGCTCGCGCTGGCCTGTTCACAGAGGCCTGGTGGCAGCTGGGAGGCCAGCGAGAACGGAACAATGAGTGATTTCTGCAGAGTCTGTGTCCGCACCACTGGGCGTGTGTCACAGGCCTGCGGGCACAGCAGGGCCATCGCCACACAGAGCACCTCCTCCCGGGGGACACAGAACCACTCTGGCTCCCAGCCTCGGTTCAGTGTTTCGAAGACGCAGAACACATGACACGTGGGACACCCAACCTCCCTGGAGACGGCAGCAACCCCTCCCCAGAGGCTGCCGCCAGCACCCCGTCTCCAAGGGCCTGCCATGGAGTTCTCAGTGGCCATCTCCTCAGGACGGGCACCGTCGGTGGGGCCAGGGGCCGGGTCAGCCCAGCACAGGGACTCAGGATGCCAAAGGCCTGCTCACGGGCCAGCGAGCGTGGGTGAGGAGGGCAGGCCTCCCCATGGAGCCAGGGTGGGCGGTGGGGCTGAGGGGCAGACTGGGCTGGGAGTTCGTTCGGTCATGGGGGAAGCGGCTGGTGTGGTGGGAGACAGGCCACCTGGGAGCCCCACCTTGTCACACCTGCACACCCACCTCCTCTGCCCCTTCCTCTACTCTGGCCTGATGATTCCCGGGAAAGCGAGGCCCACCTGGTTGCCCAGTCGGCACTGTCTGAGCTGCTCATCTGGAGAAGGAGCCCCCCGACCTGCCTCAGGTCAGCCTCTGTGGGCAAGGGTGGGGTCTCCCCTTGCTGAGTGCCTGGATTCGCCCCCGGGGGGTCCCTGCACCTGGCTGACCTGCCCCCAGCGAGGCAGACAGCCCTGCACACCTGTTTTCCTGCCTCCTTCACTCACACCTCCGTGATCAGGGCCTCGGCAGGGACGAGGTGACAACGCAGAGAGAAGCCCAGACGGGGCACCTGGCAGCAAGTGTGGCCGAGACAGGGTTTTGGGTCACAGACAGCAAAGCAGGCTGTGAGGGACCCCAGCTCGGGGAAGGGCGGGGAAGCGGAGCAGGGGGGGCAGGACGGCCATAGATGGGCTCCGGGAATGTGGGTGCCCTCTCTTTCACTGGCGTCAGGAGAGACACACCCAGCCCCCTCCCCACATGCTTCTCGGCATCCACCCCATCGATCTGTCACTGTCACCAACACCCGCATCCACTGTGAACCCGAATACATTCTACTGAGGCAGGAGATTCAGAATCCAAGCTTTTCCCACGTGAATTTCTCACCTTTGCCACAAGCCTGCAGGGCAGCTACAGGGAAACCCAGGCTCAGCGAGGGAAGGACCTGCACTGCCCAGGAGGGCACAGCCAGGAGCAGTGACTCCCCCCAGATGGCTGCCCTCTAAGAACCTCCTCCCAGGAGGGGGTCCTCCCCCTAGCACACAGGGCCCCTCCTCCTGGGGACAGGGCAGAGACTGTGCCCAAGGCTCCCTTGACACACTGTTTCCACTCCTGTAACCTTTGATTCTCTGACATGCGTGGAGGCTGGACAGAGCCTCCTTCACTGAAAAGGGGCAGCAGACAGCAAGCCCAGCGCAGAACCGGCAGCCACGGGGCCTCCCCGCCCGCAGCTGCCCACCTGCCTCTGTGCCTCCCTCGGGGTCCCTCGAGGGGATGTCATCCTGGCTGGGGGTGGGGGGAGCTGACTATGGGGCCAAGCACACATAGATCGGAGGGTTGTGGGGGCAGAGCTGTAGAAGTGACCCCCCAGAAGGTCAAGCAAGGCCAAGTGCTGCCCACAGGAGGTGAGCACCAGGCAGGCTGGAGAACTGGACCTCTGACCTACCCCCTCCCCCACCCCGCCGCTCCCCAGGGCACGCAGCCCTTTTCCCTTCTCTCCGCCTTCACCCCTACTTCTCTTCCTTCGCTCTCCCCCAAACTCCCTCGAGGTACTCCATCTTCCTGCCCTCCCAGCCCCACCCCCTCTCTGGCCCCGAAATGCAGGTCCAGAATTGTGTCTCTCCAGTGGGTCCCAGGGCTCCTCCGACCAGGGGGGTCCAGGGCATCACATCCAGGGGGGCCTACCTCATGCCCCCCCTGACTCCCATCCCCCACCAGTTGTCTTGTGCTTCCAGCTTCCCCTCTTCACCCCCTTCCCCCATCTCCTCCATCTGCCGCCTTCTCCCCCACCCCTCTGGTTCCCACCACCCTCTGGCTAAAATGTGGCCTGAGGCAGAAGCAGGAGGGGGGCGGGGCAGCGCCTTCGGAAAAGCTGGAGAGCTCTGAAAGCCCCTCTGGCAAAGGAGGGTCCCTGGGAAGGGACTGTGTCCCCACCACCTCGCCCCCCAGCCCAGACAACAGTGACAAAGTTCAGCACTGTGAGCCAGGCCAGAGCCCCAGTGGACCAGGGGTGGTAGGGACCGGAGCCCTGTGCTACCTTGGCAAACCCAGGCCTCTGGACGGGGAGGGGTCCACCCCAGGAAGCCAGGGTGACAGGAAGGGGCCAACGTCATTTTCCCCTCCCCACGCTCCCCAGGGGCTTCATGGCTGGGAGGGGGCTCTTCCAGCCTCCCCGGCGCCCCAGGTGCACACAGGAGAGAGGCCCCCAGCCAGCGGGGAGCCCTGACCTCCTGGACTCGCTCTCCGCACCCACTTTCCAACCCTCCTTCGAGGATGGGTGCATCCGGAGCAGCGGACCCCGCGGCCGTCTGGGCGGCTCACAGGCTGCCTGACCTTGGGGCGATCCTTGCCCTCCCCACACCCCACACCCCACACCCAGAGGCGCGTGTGCACTGTAACTCGGAAAAGAGCCCAGCCCCAGTGCCAGCCCCACCGGTCCCCAACTCGCTGAGTGACCTTGAACGCTGCCCCCCCAAAACCGGGGCCTCAGTTTCCCCACCTGCCCAATAGGTAGAGTCGCCCCTGGTACCCAGCGGTCCCAGCGTTCCCAGTCCCTCCCGGACAGGTGTGTCCCAGAGCCGAGGGGGGGCGCGCGCCGACACCTACCGTCCTCCAGAGACGTGGGCGCTTGGCAGGGACCAAGGTGGCCGTGACCACCAAGTGCGAGGCGGCCACCACGAGCCCGAAGCCGATGGCCAGCAGGCTGCGCACGGGCAGCAGGGAGTAGGACACGAAGGTGACCAGGAGGAGCTGCCACACGCCCTGGTCCGCCGCCGCCCGCCCCGCCGCCGCCCCGGCGTGCAGTCCGGCGGGGCCCCCGAGCGCGAAGGGGCAGCAGAGCAGCGCGAAGGTGAGGCTGAAGAACAGCGCCAGCTGGCCCACCTGCCGCAGCTGCGGCACCTGCAGCGAGCGCACGTTGGTGACCACGAGCAGCGCCAGGAAGAGCACGCAGTGCGCGGGGTGCGAGCCCTTGGCGAGGCCGGGCGCGGGCCCCTGCGCGCCCAGCAGCTCCGCCAGCGCCAGCGCGCCCGCCAGCAGGCTGAGCACCGCCAGCGCCTTCAGCGTGGCCGCCTGCTCCAGCCGCAGCGTGTAGCCGCGGAACAGCGCCTCCAGCTCGGGGCACGCGAACTCCTCGTCGCACGCCCGCAGCCCGCGCCGGCCGCCCGGTTCGGCCGCCCGCTCGGCGCCCCCGGGCTCGCCCGCGCCGCCGCCGCCGCCTCCGCCTCCGCCGCCGCCTCGGCCGCGCGGCGCCCCCGCCATCTCAGCGCCATGCAGCGGGCGCGCCCCTCGCCGGCCGGGGCGCCGGGGCGCGGGCGGCGAGGCGCCGGGGCGGGCGGGCCGAGTTGGGGCGCCGGCTGCCCCGCGCGCGCGCCCCGAGCGCGTCCACTCCCGCCCGCCGCGCCTGCGCACTGGCGCCCCCCGCGCCCCCGCCGCGGTCCTCTGGCGACCGCGCTGCGACAGCCGAGCCCAGAGCCGCCTGGCTGGGCGCGCACGGCCCACGCGCGTCCCCACCGCGCCATCCGTGCCCCCCGCCGCCGGAAGGGCTGCGTGACCTTGGGCGCCCGCTTCGCCCCGCCTAGCCTCAGTTTCCCCGCTCGCGCGCGGTGCCGCCCGCGGTGCCGTCTTTGGGGCCGTCTCTGGGGGAGTTAAAAATGCTGAAACCACGCGCTGTTCCCCGTGGAGGGTTAATCCTGCCAAATGTACCCCCACCCCAATATAACCAGACCCCTCAATTCTGGAGGAGCTCGAGGTGCTGTCCGCGCCCAAGGCCAGGTCCTCAGAGACGCGAGGCGCGGAAGCGGTGCCGAGGACCCAGGGCGGGAGGAAGGGGGCGGCCCGCGGTGGCCCCCTTTTTCTCGTCCCTCCCCTCCCCCTGCACGCGGGACCCTCCCCGCGGCGGGCTGTGTGGACAAGGCTCCTCCAAACCCCGGGAGCGAGTGCGGGGCGCAGGCGCTGTGGCGAGGTGCCGAGGCCCCGCGGTGAAGCGGAGCTGGGGGCGTGGGGTGCGGTGGTGCCCCAGGGGCCCGATGGAAGCCCCGCAGCTGCAGCAGTTAGGAAGCCGGTGTGGAGGCTGGTGCGGACAGGAACGGAGAGGGGCGCTGCGGTTGCCCCAAGGGGGGGCTGGAAGCCCCGGTGACCGCAGCGGATGACTCCCCGCCCCGCCAACGCTGGGCGCTGCGCTCACACTCACTCCCTGTAGGAATGGCCTCGGGCCAGAGCTCCACCGGTGTCATCTCCCTTGCTGCCCACAGTGGCCCAAACAAGAGGATCCCAGGGCAAGGGGCCCCAGGAGGGATGCGAGGGGGTGAGGACTCAGCGGAGGCCCTGACTCCTCCGTGCAGACGGACTGGGAACTGGGGTCCCATGAAACCAGAGACCAGGAGGTTGGCCCTCGGCGGGAGATCCCCCCTGGCCTGCTTCCAGACCTGGGCGGCCCGGGGATCCCAGCGGCTCTAGGAGTGAGAGCCCCCTCGCCCCCCTCCCTCCCCCTTTTGTTAGATGGGCCTAAGGATTAGAACTTGAGGTGTGTTTGACGTCTCTCTGGAATCAGTGTTCCTTAAGCCACGTAAAGTTGCCATTTTTTTGTAAAAAGGCCCAAAGTGGTCACATAGCCACTCTGACCGAGGTAGAGATGGCACCTTGTCTGTCCAGGCCAGGACTTCTGTCCGCTCCGTCTGCCACAGCTCACATCAGCAAGTGGTGGTGGCCCCAGGTCCCGCCTCCCCTCCCCACCCCCAGTCCCTAATCCCCCAAACGCCACCACTTTGGCCGTCCAGTCACTTGTCTTCCTCCCCTCTTGGAACTGGTGCCCGAAGGGTAGCCACTCACCAGACCCCTGGGCCCCCTTCTTCCTGTGGCTGACCAAGCGTCGTCCGCCATCATCTTGTCCCCTGCCTTCCCCAGAGGGTAGCACCGTCTGCAGGACTTCTCTGTCCAAGTATTGAGTACAAAGGATGGAGTCTCTGGTTAAATGATGGGGTGTGGCTTCTGTCCTGGTGGTATCATGAAAGGAAGGCCGAGTAATGTCCAGAACTCGGTCAGTTTCCATGCCGAAGTCATGGGGGCACGCTCGCAAACCAGCAGCACCCTGCTCCCTCTCCCGCCAGACTTCACGGGCGGGGTCAGACCCTGCTTTTCAAAGAGCCTGTGACGGTTTTGTCAGGGCTGGGGTCTTGGGGCACACACGCTGCCCTAACGCAGCCCCCAGGGCCCTGTGGCGCAGTGCCCGGGCACCGTCCTGTGGTCCCATTTCCTCCTCATGGCACCTGGGCAGAGGCTGACTCCTTCCTGTGTGGATGGAGAGGCCGACAGGGGCGCGGGCCGAGTCTCAGGCCGGATGAGCCAGAGCCCGGTGGGTCAGCCCCTGGACGGCGTCCCAGCAGCGGGTGGACTTGTCCTGCGACATGTCCGTCTTCTCTCCCCATCTGCTATGAACGCAGAGGGCCCCAAGGGCAGTGTGCAGTCGGGGTGGCGGGGACGCTACCTGACAGGCAGTGATGTGTGCACCCCGAGCCTCTGTGGGCATCACCAGGTGAACTGTGTCCCCCCAAATTCATGTGTCGAGGTCCTCACCCCCAGGACCTCAGAATGTGACCTTGTTTGGAAATAGGTTGTGGCGGGTGTAGTGAAGAGAAGGCCATGCTGGAGTGGGGGCCCCAATCCGACATGACGTGTTCTCGCACAGGGGGACATCTGGGGACAGACCCGCACCCCAGCAGGACACCGTGAAGACTGGAGAGGCTGCCACAGCCTGAAACATCCCCACCCCACCCCGAAGCCTTCAGAGGGAGCGGCCCGGCCCACGCCTGGGTCTCAGCCATCGCGGCCCCTCCCTCGGCTGTGAAGAAGCTTCCAGGGTCTGAGCCCAGCCTGGGGGCTTCATCACTCGACAGGGGCTTCTGAGCGGGACAGCGCCAAGTTCCTCCTCTTCGGCCAGAGATGTGGCTCCCAGTTGAGCGTTTCTGCCCCACACCACGCTGTCTCAGCGCTGAGCTCCCCACGCACTGAGCCACTGTGGAAGGAGGCGACTGGGGGTCCACAGGGAGCTGCGTCCAGTCAGGTTGGCTGTGTCCAAGCGTTTCTCGGTCCTCGCATCCCCCGCACGACAGGCCCCGTGAGCGTGGAAATGGAGGAACCCTGAGCCCGCTGACATGCGGGGCTCAGCTCGGTCCCTGGGGGTGGCAGGCACAGCGCCACTCTGCACAGGGCCCCCACCCTTCCCCAGCCGCCTCGGCTCTCCCTGGGGGGCTCTGGTTGGGGTGGGCAGGGCCACCAACACCCTCAGTGGACGGCAATTAAAAACGATCAAGGACCTATGCAGGACCCTCCTGTCAGAAGGGACAGAGCTCCCCGACTGCCTTAATCCAGGAGCTCGTGCTGGGACTCCTCCCCGGGAGCCTGGACGACTGACAGGAGCCCAGGCAGCAACGGGTGCCGCAGCCCGGGGCCCAGGGGAGGCCGCCTGGGGAAAGGCACCCGGCTCCTGGAACAGGCCAGACGGCTGGAACAGGGCAAAGGGTCCTCGAGCTAAAACTGGGGCCGCAGTTGGACGTGTGGACAGAGGCCCTGGCCCAGATGCCCCCTGTCCCTGCACGGTGTGGGTAGGAAGATGGATGTCGGGTATGTGTCCACCACTGGGGCAGGTGCTCCCAAAGGAAGGCCCGCCGCTGTGTCCCCCAAGAGCCTGAGGTGGGGAGAGTGCTCCGGCCATGCCGGGCTCCGCGCCGGTGACCGAGGCCCAGAAAGTGTGGCCGCAGCGGGGAGACCAGGTGCCTGAGCCCTCGAGGCCCAGAGCCGCTGTGGTGCCCAGACTAGGGACTCGGCCGTGGCTGGGCCGGGCCACCTCCTGTCCTGCACAAAGCTGGGGTCCCCTGGGAGGTTCTGTGTCATCTGGTGGGACAACAAGTGGCCTCACGAGGAGTGGACGCCAACCGTGGATGGAAGGGTCCCGACGATCCCGGAAAGAGGCCACGGGGGATGCTGTCGGTGCAGCCCCCACACCCACGGGGTCGGGAAGAGCCGTGTCCCTGATGTGACCGCAGCCTGTCCCTCCCTGAGCCGGAGCAAGGCCCCCTTCCCGTTCCTCACTGACTTCAGAGGGAAGGTTCTGGGCAGGTGAGCTTGGCTGTTTCCAAGGGGAGGGGGCTCTGTGCCCGGAGGAGATGTCTGGCCACGCGCCCAGTCCGGCAGCGGCTCTGTCCTGGCCTGGGTGCCAGGACGCTGCCCTCACACGGGACTTGGCCAGTTCCCGTCTGTGCCACGCTGTGGAGAGCACAGCTGCCCCTCGGGGAGCTGCCCTGAGCAGCCCCTGGGGATCCCTGGGTGCCGGTGACTTCACCAGTGGTACAGGGGCCACATGTCCTCGCCTGGTGTGTCCTAGGCAGCCGTGGCCGAGCTGCAGGAAGGGGCAGAGGTGAGGCATGGGGCTGCTGTCCAGGGCGGGCTGGTGGAGCACCCCCAAGACCACGGTCGGGACTGGGCTGCGACTCATGGCCCCCCAGCACCTCTCGCTTCATCTAGAGCCACACACGTGATTGTCTCAGGAAGGACCCTGCGTGGCTATTTTAGGAATTGACTGGACGGGGGCACTGGGCCTGAAGGGAACAGAGAGGCCACCCCACCAGGCCAGGTCTGGGGGTAGGGGACTGAGGTCAGGGAGACCCCACCCAGACCTGAGGCGGTGGGAGGTGGGCAGGGCTGACCACCCTCCTGTCCAGTGTTCCTGGGAGGGTGGGAAGAGGGCAGAACCTTCCAGAGAGGCCCAAGAAGAGGCCTGCTGGGCAGAGATGCTGAGAGTGGAGTGGAGATGGGCCAGGGCAGGACGCTGGTACTTAGCTCTCTCTCCCCCGGGCCTGTCTTCTTTTCCTGGCTTTAAGGACACGGGGGTGGACTTTCCGGGCCATGGCCCCCATGATGACCTGCTGAGCGATGGCTCCAGGGACCCGTGGGCGACGACTCCTTGGCCCCTCGAGACCGGGCGCCTGTGCTTCCCTCAGGGCTCAGGGTGGGTCCCGGGGGCAGGGCCGACAGGAGATGCACCGTGAGGAAGGCCCGCCTGCCCACCGGAGCTCACCATCCAGGAGGGAGAGGGGCACCCCGTGACTGGAGGGGCCAAGGGCCTTGCACCCTGCAGGTGGTGGGGCCCTGACTGCCCGTGGTCAAGGGCAGGGTCGTCTGCGAATCCCGCAGAGATGTTCAGGGTCCTGACAGCTCATGAAACGTATGCGGAGCACCCACTCTCCTGGGGACCGTCCACAACAAAACAAAGACACCTCC